TTTTTTCTTCTATAACTAATTGTACGGACCAAGAAAACAAGGTTTGTACAATATTCATGATATCTCTGGGTTTAAACAAAGGCTAAAGATTTCACTGCAAATGAGGTTTTGAATTTATCAAGCTGTACACTGAAACTGACTAATTATAGGACATGTCATAAATGAAAGATATAATAAATCACATTCAAACTGAGAATAACACCTGTCAGCAGGTCGGTGGCTACTGTCAAGTTATCAAAGGAGACTTCAATAGAGGGTTGGAAATAATCTGGAATTACCTTTTGGTTATGTTTTACTTCCCTTTAAGGCTGGTGTGAAAAATTGTCCCCTTTTTTTGATCAAACAGATGCAAAAGTAAAACTACTTGTAATTGAACCACTCAAGTTTTAAACCCTTTAATTTGCTTGCCAGCTATTCCGCTGATATCATGACGGAATTCAGATAAAAGTATAGTTTAATTTTATAATATATCTATCAAAGTTTTTCTTCAAGTTGAAGTCACCGCCCCCCCCCCCCCCCCCCCCAACGTTGTATTCCGAGACTATATAAAATGTTTTTTTTTTCTATTTCAGTATTGTATTCTTCATTTTTATATACTCCTGGGTGGAGAGAGAGGCATTGTGGGAGTAAAGTATTTCACCTAAGAACATATCACATTGACCCAGCCAGGTCCTAACCCCAGACCCCTCGATCCGTTTGTGCGTATTGGGATATAACAAGTGTTAATATCGGAAAGCTACAACGAAACTGACTGCGAAAATGACAGTCGAAATGATTTTGTGCCAGAAACAGATGATCATATTTTATTGGCTGTCTGATGAGTGACGTAGGACGTATGCCGGGAAAAACTCAAAGAACAGACAGAGGAAGATAACTTTGTTTAGAAAGAAAGACACTGAAGGCTACAGATCGTGGTAAGTACTGTCTGTTTTAAAACAACCGACACAATACTACATATTCGCTACTGTTGCCTTAGCATAAGTAAGTCCTTGACGTTTAAAGCTTCCCACTTCTCTCAGTCATGACCTGCTTAATTGGTGTGACTTGGAAGAAGGAGATTTAAATGTCTGCGATAGAAAATGAAAAATTAGAGGTTTATAAAAAACAGCCAAAAACAGCGAGAACGGTTTGACTTTCTGGATTTCCATTTACAACTGCTAAGCTCGATCAATAAATAAATTGCTTTAAACCAGCAGTAATAATTTTGATGACTATTTGAGTGAGTTACCCGGCCTATGGAGTATAAAAATAAGGCCTCCGACAGAGTCAATCGCCGTAATACTTTGTACTATCGACCCTGCTTGCGCAGAAATCAAACCGCAATAACGAAAAAAATTGAGTGTCTAGGACATGAGCTTTGTTGAACCCATTTTTTTATATTATTGGAAGGAAGATGAGAAGAGATGTATAGCAATTTACCCAGCTTTCTAGTGTTCCATCTTCAAGTCACGTATTTCAGTTTCTAACTTTCACTGCTTATGGTGGATTTCAACATGCAAAAAAAAGAAATTCTCTTTGTTTTACAGAAAACGACAGGCCAAAGTGTTCATCATTTTTGAGCGGTTAGATTTTCATCCAAAGATCAATCACAGCACAATTGGAGCTTCTTCCTGTAAAAGGTAAGCTATATGTGTGTAATGAGTCACTCTTTTCATTTTCCAGTGGGCACGACCTGCATGACGAAGACAAATACTTAATAAGGAACACGGCCGGGTTTTATGGGCGTTGTTGTTTAAACCGACCACATCTCTGCCTACGTGTTCCCTTATTAGGGTATTCATCCTGATGAGAACGAAACATTGTAACTATCAGGTAAAATCATGAATGATTCAGTTTGACATTTGTTAAGTATAAACCAAAAATTGATATATCTTTGGTGGATTTGCAATTTGAAATTACTGCATTGAGTCATCATTCGAATAATTTCAGAAAATCTTAACGACTAAAGCTAATTTTCATATTCGAAAATTTAGCAAACAAATTTGACTCTTGTAAACGCCTTGGGAGGACCCAAAGTCTTAAAATTCTCAAATTCCTTTAAAGAAAGTCTGATGCTTAATTTTTTTGACGTTAGAAATATCTTACTTTTCAGAAATTGGAGAAGTTTCACTTTCGTAAGCTAATCCATAAAAACAATCCAAGCTGTGGGTTTAAAGCGACGAATTAATAGTCACGGAGGGAATATAACCTCTCCTGACCGAAGCTAATGAATGTTTACTATTCTCACTCTTGTGGTCTGTTATGGATGTGCCTTTAAACAAGTCTTAAGAATGATTTTTCCAACAGATGGGAGGGGAGGGGAGGGGCTTTACCTGTGTTTTATTGGAGTAAACCGGGAAATTTATATCATCGTAAATTGTTGAGGTAGGGGGTGGTGGTAGAGGGGGGGAAGGAGTAAAGGTACTTTAGGCCCCCTTGGATATCTCTAGCTGTTATCACCAATTTGTGACGACATGAAGGAAAATGAAAAGCCCCGTGGAAGATATCTGACGAAGACAATGGAAATAGCAAATGATGATATTTAAATGTATCAAATTTTAGAAAAACAACATTCAGAACTGATGTTTGATACACGGGCCGTTTCACTAATGGTTTCACTAAATTTGAAACAAGTTGAAAAGCGTCTCTCTATCACTTAGAAGAAGACGGCGATGGATCATACTCGGTTTCAAATCTCATAGCGTCATGAAATCCAGAAATCGCAAGGAGTTTAGCTGTACTTACGCTCAGTGTACTGTATTTTTCAGTTGTATGGCACGTGTCACTTATATTTCAACTCGTGTTTTGTCCTAACGTATGTATTTCTAATTTTATTCTTGGTAAATTAATGGGAAAATTTGGCGAAATTTTATAATTTTTTGGTTGCGTGAATATACTTGACCTTAACACGCTCCTTAAGTTTTGAACAATTTGAGAGAGCACAACGAGGTTTTCCATGAAAAAATGCTTTGCTTTCTAATGAAAAAAATGCGGCAATTCTTGATTATCATATGGTGGTCGAGGAAGCTGCCATGAATGTAAAACAAAAATTATATTTAGATAAAGATGATGCTATTGTGTAATATTTTGTCCTCTAACTTTGAATAATTCATTACCAGTTAGCAGGCAGTAAAGAAAAGGAGAAAATATATTTGCTGCAATTTATGGGAAATAAAGTCGACATCTAGCAATTTTAATTCGACATTATGGTGAATAACTCTTTAGCGCTAAGCCACTGACTGTGTTTAAAGAGCGCATTGTTTATTTATCAGTGTTCCATTAAGTTCTTAGCTTCATGCAATCAATGGATTTACTTTCAGTTTTGTAGATGGCGTGACAAACAGAGCCACTATTTATGCTGACGAATTTCCGATTTTTTTTTCGTCGTTAAATTAACCTCTATTGGAAGGTTTCATTCCAATATCTTTGCTTTTACAAAATTAAATATGAAAAGTTTCTTGCTTTAAATGGCGAGTTCAAGTCCATTCAATGAATTTTCATTTTCCAAAAGGTCCCTAACTCGCATGACTCATGTGACATTGTAATGAACACCCTACTGAGTGGAACGAACAGCCGGGGTCTTTCTCTTGGATGAGACTGGTTCCAAGTTTGGGTTTCTAATCAACGATGGTGAGGATTGCTCGTTGAAAAAAAATAACAAAACGAAATGAAAAACAAGAAACAAAAACGAAAAAAGTGTCTCTTTCGTTTACCAGCTGTCTTGGACCACAAAGGATCGCCAAATTAAACCCCACTGGCCGGTTATTTACACGAGGTCAAACCCAAACCACGGTTTTATGTAATCAGTAGGTCTCCAGCTTTAATCTGTTTTGTTTCAAACCTCTTGACACTTTTCACAAAAATAAATGTTTGGATAAAAGGTCCAGCTAAATCGAGGATTGTTTATGACACAGTTTTGTTAAACAAAGGCTAAACTCTGTTTAAATAGTCGGCCCTAAAAGTTTCAGGACTGCAAATGATTCTTTTGTATAAATGAAAAAGTGAATAAAAAATAACGGAAAACTCTCTGTGTTTCTTTAGAGTAAACCTCTACAATCAGTCAACGCAATAGAAACTTTTAGCACTAAAAACAAATAATTGAAAATACCAAGGTTAATAAATAAATAGAGAAATTAGAGAAACTGAACGAATTTCACATTCGCTATTAAGGTCTGGCGCTATGATAGAGTCTGTTAACATTTCAAATATAAAAGCGAGTCATGTTTTGTTGATCTAAAATAAATGACTAAACAAGTGATTACATAAAAAATGAAATTCTGTGCCTTTTTTGAGTGAAGTTCCAAAATCAGCCAATTCACTACAAACTGAATTTAAAACAATGTTAACAAGCAAATGAAGAGAGAAATCGGAGAAAGAAAAAAAAAATAAGGAAGAAATTATTTTCAACCGTACAAGGGTCGATTTTTAGTGTTAAGTACGAATGAATGTCACATTGACTTTAGAGGTCACACCGTGATGGGTTGGCACTTTTTTAGAGACTATTTACATTTCAAATTTGAAAGCGAGTCATGCTTTAAGGATCTGGACTGAATTACACAGTAACAAAAGTTGGGTTGGCAAGTTTCGTTTTAATATCCATAACGTGATTTTTCTTTGCAACTGGTTGTGATGACTAATAAAACAACTAATTGGAAAAATATAGGAAAACATGTTTGTTATGAATCATCCGGAATTTCCTTTCCAAAATTAATGAGAAACTAAGTAAGTTCAGTAATAGGAGCACTTTTCGATTAAGTGTTGCGCGTGAAATCAAAACCAAAGTAATCTTAACAGCCAATCAGAAGAGAGAAAAATACCCGTTAAGAGCCAATGAGAACTCAAAGAGTATTCACTTAAAAGCATTCCCTTCAGAGCCTCTCATCATTTACGCGTAAGGAAGAACTACTGACGAGCTAAGCCGTCAGCAGCGTTTTGCACGCTGCAAATTTTTTTTGAATTACTCGCTTCTTATGTATAATGTTTCCTTCACTTCTTTTAAACTTACAGCAAAGAAGACCATAATGGACAACATAGAAGGAGTTTTAAACACAGTACAAGTGGTCTTGATAGGTATGACGATCGCCAATTTCCTTCAAAACACTGGTCGTCTTTCACCAGCCATAAAGGTGTGTGAGGAATGCTTGATTTTACTAAACAGTCAGGCGCTCGATAAGGATGGTCCAATTACCGACTCAATTCTCGTTAAGAGAATCTACACCATAATGGCCAAAGCAAAAGAAAAATTCGTCAGGGAACTCCTTCTCCTGCACCAGGACTCTGACGACACCTTCCTACAGGGAAGGTTGAATATGTTACTGGCAACTACACTTCAAGATCAATCGAAGTTTGCGGAGGCCAGAGAAATTTATGAGAGAGCAATAAAAATTATGAAAACAAATGACGACAAAATAGGAAAAGCAATTTGTTACGGAAACTTAGCAACATTACTCTATTCCTTTAGAGAATATGACAAATGTAAAAAATATCTGGAGAAGGCCCTTGCGATCAAAACCCAAATTGGTGACAGAGTCGGAGAAGCAATGTATTACAGAGAACTAGGAAAAGTGTCCCAATTGCTTGGTAACTATGATAAGGCACAAGAATATTACATGAAAGCACTTACCATCAGAACGCAAATTGGTGACAAAGAGGGAGAAGCAGTAGTTTACAGAAACCTAGGAACCGTATTCCAATCGCTTGGTAATTTTAACAAGGCACGAGAATATTACAAGAAAGCACTAGCCATCAGAATAGAAATTGGTGACAGAGAAGGAGAAGCAACGGATCAAGGAATGCTCCAAATGCTCGGCGATCTTAATCAGGCGCAAAAATATCACGAGAAAGCACTTGCTAACAGAGTGGAAACTTTTGACAGAAAGGGAGAAGCAGAGGAGTACGGAAACTTAGGAAGAGTGTTTCAATCGCTTTGTAATTATGATCAGGCGCAGGAATATCAAGAGAAAGCACTTGCTATCAGTCTGGAAATTGGTGACAGAAAAGGAGAAGCAGCGAGTTATGGAAACTTAGGAACAGTGTTCCAATCGCTCGGTAATGATGCCCAGGCGCAAGAATATCACGAGAAAGCACTTGCTATCAGTCTGGAAATTGGTGACAGAAAAGGAGAAGCAGCGAGTTATGGAAACTTAGGAACAGTGTTCCAATCGCTCGGTAATTATGCCCAGGCGCAAGAATATCACGAGAAAGCACTTGCTATCAGTCTGGAAATTGGTGACAGAAACGGACAAGGAAGGGATTACGGAAACCTAGGAACAGTGTTCCAATCGCTCGGTAATTATGCCCAGGCGCAAGAAAATCACGAGAAAGCACTTGCTATCAGTTTGGAAATTGGTGACGGAAACGGACAAGGAAGGGATTACGGAAACCTAGGAAGAGTGTTCCAATCGCTCGGTAATTATGCCCAGGCGCAAGAATATCACGAGAAAGCACTTGCTATCAGTCTGGAAACTTCTGACAGAAAAGGAGAAGTAGCGAGTTATGGAAACTTAGGAAGAGTGTTCCAATCGCTCGGTTATTATGCCCAGGCGCAAGAATATCACGAGAAAGCACTTGCTATCAGTCTGGAAATTGGTGACAGAAAAGGAGAAGCAGCGAGTTATGAAAACTTAGGAACAGTGTTCCAATCGCTTGGTAATTATGATCAGGCGCAGGAATATCAGGAGAGAGCACTTGCTATCAGTCTGGAAATTGGTGACAGAAAAGGAGAAGCAGCGAGTTATGGAAACTTAGGAACAGTGTTCCAATCGCTTGGTAATTATGATCAGGCGCAAAAATATCACGAGAAAGCACTTGCTATCAATCTGGAACTTTGCGACAGAAATGGAAAAAAAAATTGTTATATAAACCTAGGAGCTTTGTTTCTGTCACTCGGGAAATACCCTAGAGCAGATAAATATCTAGTGCAAGCACTGGCAATAGCAAAGGAAATTGGCGACAAACATGGAGAAGCGGTAGTTTACGGTAATTTGGGGATAATTTCTCGTCGTCTTCGTGATTATGAAAAGGCCCAAGAATATTACGAGAAAGCCCTTGCGATCTTTGAGGAAATTGGCTACAGAGATGGAGAAGCAGTCGAGTACTTAAATTTGGGGGCATGTTTCCAATCGCTTGGCATGTATAACGCGGCCGAAAAATGCATCAAGAGGGCCTTATTAATAAGCAAGAATATTGGACACAACTTGAGTGAATTCAAGTGCCTTTGTCAACTAACGCTGTTGAAGCTATCACAATTTAATTTCAAAGAAGCCATGTCATATCTTTTTCAGTGTATTGGAAAATTCGACACTTTGCGAGGTTTCCTTAAAGATAACGATCACTTTAAGACTTCTCTTCTAGAGGAGCACGGCAATTTTCCATACAAGTTGCTCAGCAAGTTGCTTTCTTCTACCGGCGAGCCAAGAGATGCTCTTTATGTTGAGGAGCTGAGACGGGCAAGAGGCCTCGCCGACTTCATGGCAGCCAAGTACTCTGTTCAAGAGCTGATCTCAGGAAATCCACAGTCATGGCATGGCATTCAAAATATCATCCCAAAAGAAACGGACTGTACATGTCTTTATATTTCAGTTGAAAAAGAACATGCACGGTACTGGATTCTGGAAGCATCAGGAGCCATTCATTTCTCTCGAAAGAAAGTGAGTCTGGAGAAACACGTGGTGACCCAATTAGTTCCTGATTTGGATGAGTTTTTCACAAAAAGCTTTCGCAGTCTTGGCATTTTACCCCAACAGAATTGCGAAGACCGATCATTAGATGACACCGAATCGATGCCCCCTCATTATGACAATCGCGGGCTCATGCGTGATTATGATCCCAAAGATTTCAAAATTAATCTTCAGTCGTGTTACGAGATAATCATCGCTCCCATGGCCAATTTACTGAAAGAGCCCGAGATCGTAATTGTCCCTGAATCCTGCATGTACCAAGTCCCATTTGCAGCCATCAGTGATGAAGGAGGAAAATATTTAGCAGATACTTTCAGGATCCGCGTCGTTCCCTCTCTAACGACTCTAAAGCTAATTCAGGACAGTTCCCCAGACTATCACAGTCAGAGAGGAGCACTGATAGTGGGTGATCCTGAGGTTGGCGAGGTGCTTTTGAAAGGAAGATGCAGGATCATAGCATCGTTGCCATGCGCACGAAAGGAAGCAGAAATGATTGGACGACTTCTTGGAGCGACACCTCTGACTGGAGACCGCGCAACAAAGGAGGCAGTTCTTGACGCAATAAATTCAGTAAGTCTGATTCACTTTGCTGCCCATGGTGATGCCGAAAGAGGGGAGATTGCTCTTTCTCCTAATTGCCCCACCAACTTCATTCCACAAGACGAAAACTACCTTTTGACGATGGCGGACATTTCAAAACTTCGGCTGCGAGCTAAACTGGTAGTACTTAGCTGTTGTCACAGTGCACGTGGGCAGATTAAAGCCGAGGGAATCATTGGAATCGCTCGAGCGTTCTTAGGATCTGGTGCTCGTTCAGTGTTAGCGGCACGGTGGGCCATAGAAGACACAGCCACGGAGGAATTCATGAGATGTTTCTACCAAAACTTGTTCCGCGGCAAAAGTGCAAGTGAATCCCTTCACGAGGCCAGGAAATGGTTGAGAGAGCACGGCTTCGAAAAAGTTTCTCAATGGGCTCCGTTCATGCTTATGGGCGATAACGTGACATTTGATTTTGAAAATTGGCCGGTGTCTGAAACATCCAAACAGCCATGAGAAAAGCAAATCCTCTTTAGTGGACCAAGTAAGCTTTGCAACTATCAACTGCCTTCCTGTAGAAAGAGGACGCCCTCTGTGAAGGACAAGATTAATAACGGAAAACATTTCTGAGAACGCTTACTAGCTATCTAAGTGTCATAATCTGGAACATGAAAACAGTTTATAATTCATTGTTTATAAACAAGCGGTTGAACTGTTAACTACTTCAGAAGCCTTCCTTTTGGAAAAACATTAACTCACTAGTCAAAACAAACAAATGTTACGCAAGTATTTTTGAGCGCAATAATTCAGTCAAGCCAAACAAAATTTCAGATTTTTTTTCTTCGCTGGTGATTAGTTATTCAAGCGAAACAAATTTTGCTATTTTTGTCTAAGAAGTTCTCCTTACATGTAATGTATATAACACAAAAGGTATTCCTCAAGGTTGAAATCACCTAAACACTCTTGCTAGTCGGAAACTGTCTGTTGCTCTATTTATAATGAAGAGGCATTTTCTAAGAATAGGAAATAGTTATGAAATGTTTTGACAGTTCTTTCTGCAAGGAAATAAGTTCTAAAACCACAGTAAGGTCAATAGAGTGCTCCCCATGTCTCTTGCTTTGATACATTGTAATGCTCATACTTTTTATTTGAAATTGATTGCCTCAATGATCAGTTTTTTTTTCAAGGGCTAAATTTTTCAATGATTCGACGAACATTTGTCTCAGAAAAGTTCTTGAGACTATTCTAGTCAAAGGAGAGTTTATATTATCTTAAATGTTCCATTGCTGATACCTGTTTGTTTAACAGATACTGACATTTACTCCAAGCGAAATTTTCAAATGAAAACTATTCGTAATGAATTGAACGAATTCTTGTCGGTCGAACAGTTTTTCTCGCAAGCGAGAAATAATTCAAGAAGAAAGTATCAAGTCAAAGCGAATCATCTTGTTAGGATCGAACAGTTTTCAACTGAGTGTCACCGAAAATCCAAAACCAAAGTTATAACAACTGAAAAATCAGAACCAAGGTTAACATCTTCATTAACCAATGAGAACTCAAAGTAAAAAGAGAAAACCTGCTTGACGCGCGGGAAAACGTGGGGGGACCAAGTCGTGATATGTTTTAGTTTTGCAGTCGATTGGTTGAGGAAGTAGCGTGAGTTTTCTAGACCAATCTTGGAGCGAAGTAAATGAAAAACCTCAGCTACCAGGATCACTTTCGATACTCATTTAAGAACTGCTCTATTTCTTCAATTGAAGAGTGCTTAATTTTGAAAGTAATATCAACTAGCGTAGCAGGTGTTGGTGGAAGCTGTCAACTTCCTCTCTTGCGTTTGGTCTCGTCGGCTTAATTTCGATGTCCTGCTATTGTTATAGCTTACTCATACATGGAGAAGATTCACCTTTTGTTTTATTGTTATTTGAAGTTTTCCTCTTGTTAAAATATTTCATAAGGAAAACTTTGATTTAACAATCTGCCACCACATTCTGTTCAAATCGAGTTGCTTCAGGTGAAAGGGGGTAAGTTTCTAAAGAAACTGTGGTGCTGTGTCGGCAGGAAAGCTACCCCTTCGAAACATCAGCTTTTCAAACTCTCTAAGGTGGCTGATTTACGCTATCAACACAGTTGATAAAACCAAAATATCTTGCTTCAGGAGAGCTAGATTGAGAGAGAAAGTGACTGGCGTCAAAGATTGAAGTGCATAATTATTTAGTGAACTTGGCTAAATCAGTTTGTTGTAGGGAATATTCGTGCTATTAGCAGTTCTTTTCTATTCTACACACTAAGTCAGCTGGAATTGAAATGAGAAAGATGACAATTCTTTTTCGTGTCGAGGGCATTTTAGTTAAGACATACTCAAAGCTTCGGTCCCGAATTAAGGCTTCCATAGATATCAGTTCTCCGATGATTCATCAACGGCATCTGTTGCCGAACCTTGTTTAAGTATCCAAGGTCAATATCTGCTACACACACGTCATTTCCTTCATGACACTGAGCAATAACACAGCCCCAAGGATCTACAACCTGCAGTGACATGAACAAGGACAATACTCAGTACACGAGGCCTGCTAAGAAATGACTTTGTCAGGGTTAGCGTCTTTCATATTATCAGGTTCCCTCATAGTTAGCTGGTACCCATTTATACCATCCTGGGTAAGGAGAGTGACTGTAAGAGCAGGGTGCCTTGCATCATAATACAACATGGCAATCCAGCCAGAACTTGGAACCACACTTTTCTCACTTTAGTTTAGTGCTGTTACAGCAGGCCAACATGACTTTCTAAAGCAACCATTAAAAGGTATGTGGCTGGAACTAATCTACTCCCCATAGATGGGATGCCACTCCATTGCAAACCCCCTCCCCCCCTCTGCCCAGAATTTCATCAAGCTGCCCTGACAGTTTGGCAGTAGCTATCTATACTCCAAGATGAAGTGAAGCACTGTGAGAGTAAAGTACTTTTAAAGACCACCAATAAACAGATGACCATGATATGTTTTGTTCCATGTTTTCCTTGATTAAAAAGTTTTCAAGCCCATCTGACCTCCATTTTTGTCTTCTTTGTCAAAGAGAAACAAAAATCAAGCTGGTTTGAGAAAGTTAAAAGGAATGAAAATCTGAACTTAACCACACTAACTGTTAATTATGCAAAGGATATAATTGCCAAGCCAACATTCCCCCCAGGGGTAGGCACAGGTGGCACTATCTGGTTACCGGGGATACAGGTGTCACTCTCCTTAAGCCTGGGTCTATCTTTCGCATCAATATCAAACAGATGTATTTTCCGATACACTGCGACTTTGGAGCTACTGTCATTAACAATGACATGTGAGTTACGCAGCCTCTTATCATCAAGTGGGCCCTATGATTTAAAAGTGCATTGACTAAGGGAAAAAATTACCGGCGACTGCTGAAATTATTACACTTAATTAGTTACCTAAGTTCCCAGATGAAAGTAAAAATATTTCCTTCCTTTGCCGCATGAGAAAATGTTTAACCCATGCAGTGAAAGGTATACAAAATTCTTACTAACGCAGTGTGAGGTCCATACTGTAAGTTACGGACCAAGTTTTTTCTTCTATAACTAATTGTACGGACCAAGAAAACAAGGTTTGTACAATATTCATGATATCTCTGGGTTTAAACAAAGGCTAAAGATTTCACTACAAATGAGGTTTTGAATTTACCAAGCTGTACACTGAAACTGACCAATCATAGGACATGTAATAAATGAGAGATACAATAAATCACATTCAAACTGAGAATAACACCTGTCAGCAGGTCGGTGGCTACTGTCAAGTTATCAAAGGAGACTTCAATAGAGGGTTGGAAATAATCTGGAATTGCCTTTTGGTTTTGTTTTACTTCCCTTTAAGGCTGGTGTGAAAAATTGTCCCCTTTTTTTGATCAAACAGATGCAAAAGTAAAACTACTTGTAACTGAGCCACTCAAGTTTTAAACCCTTTAATTTGCTTGCCAGCTATTCCGCTGATATCATGACGGAATTCAGATAAAAGCATAGTTTAATTTTATAATATATCTATCAAAGTTTTTCTTCAAGTTGAAGTCACCGCCGCCACCCCCCCCCCCCCCCCCCAACGTTGTATTCCGAGACTATATAAAATGTTTTTTTTTTCTATTTCAGTATTGTATTCTTCATTTTTATATACTCCTGGGTGGAGAGAGAGGCATTGTGGGAGTAAAGTATTTCACCTAAGAACATATCACATTGACCCAGCCAGGTCCTAACCCCAGACCCCTCGATCCGTTTGTGCGTATTGGGATATAACAAGTGTTAATATCGGAAAGCTACAACGAAACTGACTGCGAAAATGACAGTCGAAATGATTTTGTGCCAGAAACAGATGATCATATTTTATTGGCTGTCTGATGAGTGACGTAGGACGTATGCCGGGAAAAACTCAAAGAACAGACAGAGGAAGATAACATTGTTTAGAAAGAAAGACACTGAAGGCTACAGATCGTGGTAAGTACTGTCTGTTTTAAAACAACCGACACAATACTATATATTCGCTACTGTTGCCTTAACATAAGTAAGTCCTTGGAGTTTAAAGCTTCCCACTTCTCTCAGTCATGACCTGCTTAATTGGTGTGACTTGGAAGAAGGAGATTTAAATGTCTGCGATAGAAAATGAAAAATTAGAGGTTTATAAAGAACAGCCAAAAACAGCGAGAACGGTTTGACTTTCTGGATTTCCATTTACAACTGCTAAGCTCGATCAATAAATAAATTGCTTTAAACCAGCAGTAATAATTTTGATGACTATTTGAGTGAGTTACCCGGCCTATGGAGTATAAAAATAAGGCCTCCGACAGAGTCAATTGCCGTAATACTTTGTACTATTGACCCTGCTTGCGCAGAAATCAAACCGCAATAACGAAAAAAATTGAGTGTCTAGGACATGAGCTTTATTGAACCCATTTTTTTATATTATTGGAAGAAGATGAGAAGAGATGTATAGCAATTTACCCAGCTTTTTAGTGTTCCATCTTCAAGTCACGTATTTCAGTTTCTAACTTTCACTGCTTATGGTGGATTTCAACATGCAAAAAAAAGAAATTCTCTTTGTTTTACAGAAAACGACAGGCCAAAGTGTTCATCATTTTTGAGCGGTTAGATTTTCATCCAAAGATCAATCACAGCACAATTGGAGCTTCTTCCTGTAAAAGGTAAGCTATATGTGTGTAATGAGTCACTCTTTTCATTTTCCAGTGGGCACGACCTGCATGACGAAGACAAATACTTAATAAGGAACACGGCCGGGTTTTATGGGCGTTGTTGTTTAAACCGACCACATCTCTGCCTACGTGTTCCCTTATTAGGGTATTCATCCTGATGAGAACGAAACATTGTAACTATCAGGTAAAATCATGAATGATTCAGTTTGACATTTGTTAAGTATAAACCAAAAATTGATATATCTTTGGTGGATTTGCAATTTGAAATTACTGCATTGAGTCATCATTCGAATAATTTCAGAAAATCTTAACGACTAAAGCTAATTTTCATATTCGAAAATTTAGCAAACAAATTTGACTCTTGTAAACGCCTTGGGAGGACCCAAAGTCTTAAAATTCTCAAATTCCTTTAAAGAAAGTCTGATGCTTAATTTTTTTGACGTTAGAAATATCTTACTTTTCAGAAATTGGAGAAGTTTCACTTTCGTAAGCTAATCCATAAAAACAATCCAAGCTGTGGGTTTAAAGCGACGAATTAATAGTCACGGAGGGAATATAACCTCTCCTGACCGAAGCTAATGAATGTTTACTATTCTCACTCTTGTGGTCTGTTATGGATGTGCCTTTAAACAAGTCTTAAGAATGATTTTTCCAACAGATGGGAGGGGAGGGGAGGGGCTTTACCTGTGTTTTATTGGAGTAAACCGGGAAATTTATATCATCGTAAATTGTTGAGGTAGGGGGTGGTGGTAGAGGGGGGGAAGGAGTAAAGGTACTTTAGGCCCCCTTGGATATCTCTAGCTGTTATCACCAATTTGTGACGACATGAAGGAAAATGAAAAGCCCCGTGGAAGATATCTGACGAAGACAATGGAAATAGCAAATGATGATATTTAAATGTATCAAATTTTAGAAAAACAACATTCAGAACTGATGTTTGATACACGGGCCGTTTCACTAATGGTTTCACTAAATTTGAAACAAGTTGAAAAGCGTCTCTCTATCACTTAGAAGAAGACGGCGATGGATCATACTCGGTTTCAAATCTCACAGCGTCATGAAATCCAGAAATCGCAAGGAGTTTAGCTGTACTTACGCTCAGTGTACTGTATTTTTCAGTTGTATGGCACGTGTCACTTATATTTCAACTCGTGTTTTGTCCTAACGTATATATTTCTAATTTTATTCTTGGTAAATTAATGGGAAAATTTGGCGAAATTTTATAATTATTTTGTTACGTGAATATACTTGACCTTAACACGCTCCTTAAGTTTTGAACAATTTTAGAGAGCACAACGAGGTTTTCAATGAAAAAATGCTTTGCTTTCTAATGAAAAAATGCGGCAATTCTTGATTATCATATGGTGGTCGAGGAAGCTGCCATGAATGTAAAACAAAAATTATATTAAGATAAAGATGATGCTATTGTGTAATATTTTGTCCTCTAACTTTGAATAATTCATTACCAGTGAGCAGGCAGTAACTTTTCTTTTTCGAGGCAAAAAAGGAGAAAATATATTTGCTGCAAATTTATGGGAAATAAAGTCGACATCTAGCAATTTTAATTCGACATTATGGTGAATAACTCTTTAGCGCTGAGCCACTGACTGTGTTTAAAGAGCGCATTGTTTATTTATCAGTGTTCCATTAAGTTCTTAGCTTCATGCAATCAATGGATTTACTTTCAGTTTTGTAGATGGCGTGACAAACAGAGCCACTATTTATGCTGACGAATTTCCGATTTTTTTTTCGTCGTTAAATTAACCTCTATTGGAAGGTTTCATTCCAATATCTTTGCTTTTACAAAATTAAATATGAAAAGTTTCTTGCTTTAAATGGCGAGTTCAAGTCCATTCAATGAATTTTCATTTTCCAAAAGGTCCCTAACTCGCATGACTCATGTGACATTGTAATGAACACCCTACTGAGTGGAACGAACAGCCGGGGTCTTTCTCTTGGATGAGACTGGTTCCAAGTTTGGGTTTCTAATCAACGATGGTGAGGATTGCTCGTTGAAAAAAAATAACAAAACGAAATGAAAAACAAGAAACAAAAACGAAAAAAGTGTCTCTTTCGTTTACCAGCTGTCTTGGACCACAAAGGATCGCCAAATTAAACCCCACTGGCCGGTTATTTACACGAGGTCAAACCCAAACCACGGTTTTATGTAATCAGTAGGTCTCCAGCTTTAATCTGTTTTGTTTCAAACCTCTTGACACTTTTCACAAAAATAAATGTTTGGATAAAAGGTCCAGCTAAATCGAGGATTGTTTATGACACAGTTTTGTTAAACAAAGGCTAAACTCTGTTTAAATAGTCGGCCCTAAAAGTTTCAGGACTGCAAATGATTCTTTTGTATAAATGAAAAAGTGAATAAAAAATAACGGAAAACTCTCTGTGTTTCTTTAGAGTAAACCTCTACAATCAGTCAACGCAATAGAAACTTTTAGCACTAAAAACAAATAATTGAAAAAACCAAGGTTAATAAATAAATAGAGAAATTAGAGAAACTGAACGAATTTCACATTCGCTATTAAGGTCTGGCGCTATGATAGAGTCTGTTAACATTTCAAATATAAAAGTGAGTCATGTTTTGTTGATCTTAAATGAATTACTAAACAAGTGATTACATAAAAAGTGAAATTGTGTGCCTTTTTTTAGTGAAGTTCCAAAATAAGCCAATTCACCACAAACTTAATTTAAAACAATGTTAACAAACAAATGAACAGAGAAATCGGAGAAAGAAAAAAAAAAATAAGGAAGAAATTATTTTCAACCGTACAAGGGTCGATTTTTAGTGTTAAGTACGAATGAATGTCACATTGGCTGTAAAGGTCGCACTGTGATGGGTTGGCACTTTTTTAGAGACTATTTACATTTCAAATTTGAAAGCGAGTCATGCTTTGAAGATCTGGACTGAATTACACAGTAACAAAAGTTGGGTTGGCAAGTTTCGTTTTAATATCCATAACGTGATTTTTCTTTGCAACTGGTTGTGATGACTAATAAAACAGCTAATTGGAAAAATATAGGAAAACATGTTTGTTATGAATCATCCGGAATTTCCTTTCCAAAATTAATGAGAAACTAAGTAAGTTCAGTAATAAGAGCACTTTTCGATTGAGTGTTGCGCGTGAAATCAAAACCAAAGTAATCTTAACAGCCAATCAGAAGAGAGAAAAATACCCTTTAAGAGCCAATGAGAACTCAAAGAGTATTCACTTAAAAGCATTTCCTTCAGAGCCTCTCATCATTTACGTGTAAGGAAGAACTACTGACGAGCTAAGCCGTCAGCAGCGTTTTGCACGCTGTAAATTTTTTTTGAATTACTCGCTTCTTATGTATAATGTTTCCTTCACTTCTTTTAAACTTACAGCAAAGAAGACCACAATGGACAACATAGAAGGAGTTTTAAACACAGTACAAGTGGTCTTGATAGGTATGACGATCGCCAATTTCCTTCAAAACACTGGTCGTCTTTCACCAGCCATAAAGTTGTGTGAGGAATGCTTGATTTTACTAAACAGTCAGGCGCTCGATAAGGATGGTCCAATTACCGACTCAATTCTCGTTAAGAGTATCTACACCATAATGGCCAAAGCAAAAGAAAAATGCGTCAGGGAACTCCTTCTCCTGCACCAGGACTCTGATGACACCTTCCTACAGGGAAGGTTGAATATGTTACTGGCAACTACACTTCAAGATCAATCGAAGTTTGTGGAGGCCAGAGAAATTTATGAGAGAGCAATAAAAATTATGAAAACAAATGACGACAAAATAGGAAAAGCAATTTGTTACGGAAACTTAGCAACATTACTCTATTCCTTTAGAGAATATGACAAATGTAAAAAATATCTGGAGAAGGCCCTTGCGATCAAAACCCAAATTGGTGACAGAGTCGGAGAAGCAATGTATTACAGAGAACTAGGAAAAGTGTCCCAATTGCTTGGTAACTATGATAAGGCACAAGAATATTACATGAAAGCACTTACCATCAGAACGCAAATTGGTGACAAAGAGGGAGAAGCAGTAGTTTACAGAAACCTAGGAACCGTATTCCAATCGCTTGGTAATTTTAACAAGGCACGAGAATATTACAAGAAAGCACTAGCCATCAGAATAGAAATTGGTGACAGAGAAGGAGAAGCAACGGATCAAGGAATGCTCCAAATGCTCGGTGATCTTAACCAGGCGCAAAAATATCACGAGAAAGCACTTGCTATCAGAGTGGAAACTTTTGACAGAAAGGGAGAAGCAGAGGAGTACGGAAACTTAGGAACAGTGTTTCAATCGCTTTGTAATTATGATCAGGCGCAGGAATATCAAGAGAAAGCACTTGCTATCAGTCTGGAAATTGGTGACAGAAAAGGAGAAGCAGCGAGTCATGGAAACTTAGGAAGAGTGTTCCAATCGCTCGGTAATTATGCCCAGGCGCAAGAATATCACGAGAAAGCACTTGCTATCAGTCTGGAAATTGGTGACAGAAAAGGAGAAGCAGCGAGTTATGGAAACTTAGGAACAGTGTTCCAATCGCTCGGTAATTATGCCCAGGCGCAAGAATATCACGAGAAAGCACTTGCTATCAGTCTGGAAATTGGTGACAGAAACGGACAAGGAAGGGATTACGGAAACCTAGGAACAGTGTTCCAATCGCTCGGTAATTATGCCCAGGCGCAAGAATATCACGAGAAAGCACTTGCTATCAGTCTGGAAATTGGTGACAGAAAAGGAGAAGGAAGGGATTACGGAAACCTAGGAAGAGTGTTCCAATCGCTCGGTAATTATGCCCAGGCGCAAGAATATCACGAGAAAGCACTTGCTATCAGTCTGGAAATTGGTGACAGATACGGACAAGAAACCTAGAAGGAGTAATTACGGAAACCTAGGAATAGTGTTCCAATCGCTTGGTAATTATGACCAGGCGCAAGAATATCACGAGAAAGCACTTGCTATCAGTCTGGAAATTGGTGACAGAAAAGGAGAAGCAGCGAGTCATGGAAACTTAGGAACAGTGTTCCAATCGCTCGGTAATTATGCTCAGGCGCAAGAATATCACGAGAAAGCACTTGCTATCAATCTGGAAATTGGTGACAGAAAAGGAGAAGCAGCAAATTACTTAAACCTAGGAACAATGTTCCAACTGTTTGGTAATTATGCTCAGGCGCAAGAATATCACGAGAAAGCACTTGCTATCAGACTGGAAATTGGTGACAGAAAAGGAGAAGCGACGGATTACGGAAACCTAGGAACAGTGTTCCAACAGCTTGGTAATTATGACAAGGCACAAGAATATTACGAGAAAGCACTTGCTATCAGTCTGAAACTTCGCGACAGAAATGGAAAAGCTAATTGTTATAAAAACCTAGGGGCTTTGTTTCTGTCACTCGGGAAATACCCTAGAGCAGATAAATATCTAGTGCAAGCACTGGCAATAGCAAAGGAAATTGGCGACAAACATGGAGAAGCTGTAGTTTACGGTAATTTGGGGATAATTTCTCGTCGTCTTCATGATTATGAAAAGGCCCAAGAATATTACGAGAAAGCCCTTGCGATCTTTGAGGAAATTGGCTACAGAGATGGAGAAGCAGTCGAGTACTTAAATTTGGGGGCATGTTTCCAATCGCTTGGCATGTATAACGTGGCCGAAAAATACATCAAGAGGGCCTTATTAATAAGCAAGAATATTGGACACAACTTGAGTGAATTCAAGTGCCTTTGTCAACTAACGCTGTTGAAGCTATCACAATTTAATATCAAAGAGGCCATGTCATATCTTTTTCAGTGTATTGGAAAATTCGACACGTTGCGAGGTTTCCTTAAAGATAACGATCACTTTAAGACTTCTCTTCTAGAGGAGCACGGCAATTTTCCATACAAGTTGCTCAGCAAGTTGCTTTCTTCTACTGGGAAGCCAAGAGATGCTCTCTATGTTGAGGAGCTGAGACGGGCAAGAGGCCTCACCGACTTCATGGCAGCAAGGTACTCTGTTCAAGAGTTGATCTCAGGGAACCCACAGTCATGGCATGGCATTCACAATATCATCACAAAAGAAACGGACTGTACGTGTCTTTATATTTCAGTTGAAAAAGAACATGCACGGTACTGGATTCTGGAAGCATCAGGAGCCATTCATTTCTCACGAAAGAAAGTGAGTCTGGAGAAACACGTGGTGACAAAATTAGTTCCTGATTTGGATGAGTTTTTCACAAAAAGCTTTCGCAGTCTTGGCATTTTACCCCAACAGAATTGCGAAGATCGATCATTAGATGACACCGAATCGATGCCCCCTCATTATGACAATCGCGGGCTCATGCGTGATTATGATCCCAAAGATTTCAAAATGAATCTTCAGTCGTGTTACGAGATAATCATCGCTCCCATGGCCAATTTACTGAAAGAGCCCGAGATCATAATTGTCCCTGAATCCTGTATGTACCAAGTCCCGTTTGCAGCCATCAGTGACGAAGGAGGAAAATATTTAGCGGATACTTTCAGGATCCGCGTCGTTCCCTCTCTAACGACTCTAAAGCTAATTCAGGACAGTTCCCCCGACTATCACAGTCAGAGAGGAGCACTGATAGTGGGTGATCCTGAGGTTGGTGAGGTGCTTTTGAAAGGAAGATGCAGGATCATAGCATCGTTGCCATGCGCACGAAAGGAAGCAGAAATGATTGGACGACTTCTAGGAGTGACACCTTTGACTGGAGACCGTGCAACAAAGAAGGCAGTTCTTGACGCAATAAATTCAGTAAGTCTGATTCACTTTGCTGCCCATGGTGATGCCGAAAGAGGAGAGATTGCTCTATCTCCTAATTGCCCCACCACCTTCATTCCACAAGACGAAAACTACCTCTTGACGATGGCGGACATTTCAAAACTTCGGCTGCGAGCTAAACTGGTAGTACTTAGCTGTTGTCACAGTGCACGTGGGCAGATTAAAGCCGAGGGAATCATTGGAATCGCTCGAGCGTTCTTAGGATCTGGTGCTCGTTCAGTGTTAGCGGCACGGTGGGCCATAGAAGACACAGCCACGGAGGAATTCATGAGATGTTTCTACCAAAACTTGTTCCGCGGTAAAAGTGCAAGTGAATCCCTTCACGAGGCTAAGAAATGGTTGAGAAAAAAAGGCTTCGAAAAAGTTTCTCAATGGGCTCCGTTCATGCTCATTGGCGATAACGTCACATTTGATTTTGAAAATTGGCCAGTGTCTAAAACATCCAAACAGCTATGAGAAAACTGCAAATCCTCTTTGGTGGACCAAGTAAGCTTTGCAACTATCAACTGCCTTCCTGTAGAAAGAGGACGCCCTCTGTGAAGGACAAGATTGATAACGGAAAACTTTTCTGAGAACGCTTATTAGCTATCTACGTGTCATAATCTGGAACATGAAGACAGTTTATAATTCATTGTTTATAAACAAGCGGTTGAACTGTTAACGACTTCAGAAGCCTTCCTTTTGGAGAAACATCAACTCATTAGCCAAAACAAACAAAGGTCACGCAAGTATTTTTGAGCGCAATAATTCAGTCAAGCCAAACAAAATTTAAGACTTTTTTTTTCGCTGGTGATTAGTTATTCAAGCGAAACAAATTTTTAAGATTTTTGTCTAAGAAGTTCTCCATTACATGTAATGTCTATAACACAAAAGGTATTCCTCAAGGTTGAAATCACCTAAACACTCTTGCTAGTTGGGAAACTGCCTGTTGCCCTATTTATAATGAAAAGGCATTTTCTTAGAATGGGACATAGTTATGAAATGTTTTGACAGTTCTTTCTGCAAGGAAATAAGTTCTACAACCACAGTAAGGTCAATAGAGTGCTCCCTATGTCTCTTGCTTTGATACAGTGTAATGCTCATACTTTTTATTTGAAATTGATTGCCTCAATGATAAGTTTTTTTTTTCAAGGGCTAAATTTTTCAATGATTCGACGAACATTTGTCTCAGAAAAGTTCTTGAGACTATTCTAGTCAAAGGAGAGTTTATATTATCTTAAATGTTCTATTGTTGATACCTGTTTGTTTAACAGATACTGACATTTACTCCAAGCGAAATTTTCAAATGAAAACTATTCGTAATGAATTGAACGAATTCTTGTCGGTCGAACAGTTTTTCTCACAAGCGAGAAATAATTCAAGAAGAAAGTATCAAGTCAAAGCGAATCATCTTGTTAGGATCGAACAGTTTTCAACTGAGTGTCACCGAAAATCCAAAACCAAAGTTATAACAACTAAAAAATAAGAATCAAGGTTAGCATCTTCATTAACCAATGAGAACTCAAAGTAAAAAGAGAAAACCTGCTTGACGCGCGGGAAAACGTTAGGGGACCAAGACATGGTTTTAGTTTTGCAGTCGATTGGTTGAGGAAGTAGCGTGAGTTTTCTAGACCAATCTTAGAGCGAAGTAAATGAAAAACCTCAGCTACCAGGATCACTTTCGATACTCATTTAAGAACTTCTCTATTTCTTCAATTGAAGAGTGCTTAATTTTGAAAGTAATATCAACTAGCGTAGCAGGTGTTGGTGGAAGCTGTCAACTTCCTCTCTTGCGTTTGGTCTTGTCGGCTTAATTTCGATGTCCTGCTATTGTTATAGCTTACGCATACATGGAGAAGATTCACCTTTTATTTTATTTTTATTTGAAGTTTTCCTCTTGTTAAAATATTTCATAAGGAAAACTTTGATTTAACAATATGCCACCACATTCTGTTCAAATCGAGTTGCTTCAGGTGAAAGGGGGGTAAGTTTCTAAAGAAACTGTGGTGCTGTGTCGGCGGGAAAGCTACCCCTCGAAACATCAGCTTTACAAACTCTTTAAGGTGGCTAATTTACATTATCAACACAGTTGATAAAACCAAATTATCTTGCTTTAGGAGAGTTAGATTGAGAGAGAAAGTGACTGGCGTCAAAGATTGAAGTGCATAATTATTTACATTAAGTAAACTTGGCTAAATCAGTTTGTTGTAGGGAATATTCGTGCTATTAGCAGTTCTTTTCTATTCTACTCACTAAGTCAGCTGGAATTGAATTGAGATCGATAACACTTCTTTTTCGCCTCGAGGGCATTTTAGTTAAGACATACTCAAAGCTTCGGTCCCGAATTAAGGCTTCCATAGATATCAGTTCTCCGATGATTCATCAACGGCATCTGTTGCCGAACCTTGTTTAAGTATCCAAGGTCAATTTCTGCTACACACACGTCATTTCCTTCATGACACTGAGCAATAACACAGCCCCAAGGATCTACAACCTGCAGTGACATGAACAAGAACAATACTCAATACACGAGGCCTGCTAAGAAATGACTTTTGTTCAGTTGTTATATTACCAATGAACTTATTATTAAGTTATTATCAATAACTTAATAATAATCTATTGAAGTTTTTTAATTGATATCTTTCTACTCAAAGTTCTTGTTGGCTCTAAATAGCTATTGGTTCAACGAGATTGAATTAAAAAGTTGTTTATACAGCTAAGTAAAAACACATTCACCCTTACATGTTACATGCGTGATTGCGAGACCGTCATTGCACGTTACACACGATGGCGTGACCGTTAAAACGTTCTTACACGTTTAATACATACTATGGCGTGACCGTATAACCATCGTCACTTTTCATCCTGTGGCGTGACCATATGATTGTCGCAACACAGAATATACCATGGCGTGACGTATCGCCGTTCTTACAAGTTTACACGTACTTTAGCGTGACCGTATAACCATCGTCACTTTTCATCCTGTGGCGTGACTATATGATTGTCGCAACACAGAATATACCATGGCGTGACGTATCGCCGTTCTTACAAGTTTACACGTACTATAGCGTGACCGTATAACCATCGTCACAAGTAACATATCATAGCGTGACTCTGTGACCGTCACAACACTTTACATACCATAGCGTGACCGTAAGACCGTCGTTTGGCATTATGCTGTCCTGTTTGTGCAGCAGCTATGACATAACATTGGTTCTCCACAGCACGACATCTTAATAAAACCTGAAAAGAAGTAAAAAAATCTATTTTGAAAAAGAAATATAAATAATAAAATAATGGAAGTCAAGCCGTGATCGTGATCTTCATAGTTACGCACGGAGAGTAAAAGAGGCGATTCACTCAACCCTTCTATAACAACTTAGCATCATCATATTCTACATACTGTTCTCCTTACTTTCCTAAGATGCTGACAAGGAGAATTTAACAACCAAGGGCTTCTTTAGTTGGTGATCATTTTGTTTATTCTCATGACCTGCGTAATGTTTGGTTCAGCGGTGATAATGTAAGGAGAAATTAGGTGCTAGTCACTCTTGAAGGTCAAGGGCTTAAGACTTCATCCTGTCTACCTCAACAGCTTCAGAAGGATAGAAATTCCACCGTAACAGATCACTGAAATACGCGATTTGCGACTGCTAAAAACTAATCAATCACAACAGGACATTATGTTTCAGAAAGTGAAGTGTTACCAGGTAATCTAATAGATTGTTTTGGAAATGAAGGACACCCTCGAAACGTAAATTGCTGCACAGTATGTGGTGGTAATTTCATGATTCACTCCAGAAATGAAGACAAAAAATATCTTCTCAAGCTTATTAAATAAATGATTTCCTTTGGAGTTAGCTACCCTTTCGAAAAAAGATAGCTAAGATTCAAACATTGATTTTAATAATAAACGTCCGCCCAATCTGACTCTTTGCCGAGTACAAATGTTTGAATTCGACATTTTTTCTTCAATTATCCAGGTAGCTTGGGGTAAAGGGCTAAAAGTAGCCTGTTTCTGTTGCTACAATGTGTTCATAAGTTTTGAATTTAGAGTTGCTGGATTTGGAGACCTCTGATAAAAGTCATAAGCAGTAAAAATTATAAGTACATGTACAAACCTCCCAGTGTGCTGATCCAGTGATCTGAGTAAATGCTGATGGAAATGTTAAGATGTCGGCTCCCTGTTGTGCTAAAATAAGGGACAGCTCTGGAAAACGTACATCATAGCACTGGAACAACCATCATGTTAAGGATCACACAGCACCAGAAAGAATGACATTTTGCATATGCTGCTGTTCCCAGGTTACTATTACAACTGATTTTCTTGAAATAATTACTCAGGGTTAAATGTTGTTGAAAAGTAGGAAGTATTCAGTTATGAGCGAAGTTTTAATGATGATGTATTCAACTTCCCTACTGAATCAGGTAACCAGTCAATTATATCAGGTGATTCCTAGGTGAAAATAGACCTGAGAAAGACTGCTGTTGTTGTTCAGTGTTATTAAACTGACATAAAAAAATGAAGTCAGCTCATGAGCCATAAGGCTTCTCCTACTGCAGCTCATCCAGTTTTGGTGACATGAACAAAGTGGGAGTATAGCTTTTCCACCCTGGAAAGGATTTTAGTCTAGCTCAGGGTTAACATCTTTCATATTATCAGGTTCCCTGAGTTAGCTGGTACCCATTTATACCATCCTGAGTAAGGAGAGTAACTGTAAGAGCAGGGTGCCTTGCATCATAATATAACATAGCAATCTAGCCAGGACTTGGAACCACACCTTTCTCATCTTAGTTTAGTGTTGTTACAACAGATCAACATGACTTTCTAAAGCAACCATTAAAAGGTATGTGGCTGGAACTAGTCTACTCCCCATAGATGGGATGCCAATCCATTGCAAGACCCCCCCCCCCTCCCCCCTTTCCCCCCTCTGCCCAGAGTTTTATCAAGCTACCCTGACAGTTTGGCAGTAGCTATTTACACTCCTGGCTGGAGTGAAGCACTGTGAAAGTAAAGTACTTTTAAAGACCACCAATAAACAGATGACCACAATATGTATTGTTCAAAGTTTTCCTTGATTTAAACATTTTCAAGCCAGTCTGACCTCCATTTTTGTCTTCTGCAGAACTTAGTCAGAGAGAAACAAAATTCAAGCTGGTTTGAAAAACTTAAAGGAAGGAAAATCTGAACCACAACAACCACACTTAACTGTTCATTATGCAAAGGATACAATGGCAAGGCCAACATTCCCCACAGGGGTAGACACAGGTGGCACTATCTGGTTACCAGGGATACAGGTGTCACTTTCCTTAAGCCTGGGTCCATCTTTCACATCAATATCAAACAGATGTATTTTCCGATACACTGCAACTATGGAGCCACTGTCATTCACAATGACATGCGAGTTACGCAGCCTCTTATCATCTGGTGGACCCTATGATTTAAAAGTGTATGAAAAAGGGAAAACAATACTGATGACTACTGATAGAAATGATTACACTTAATTACTTACCTAAGCTCCCAAATGAAAGTAAAAATAATTATTTCCATTGCCACATAAGAAAGTTTTTAACCCCAGCAGTGCAAGGTATACAAAACTCTTAAAAATGCAGTTTGAGGTCTCTAATACTGTAAGTTACAGACTGAGTTTTTTCCACTCATATTAATGGCCATAAATGCGATAGGAAAAACAAGCTTCCATAACTCATAGTACAGACCAAGAAAACAAGGTTGGTACAAAATTTGCTATATTTATCTCTGGGTTTAAACAGAGGCTAAAGATTTTCAATACCAACAAAGTTTGGAATTTAACAAGCCGCACACTGAAATTGACCAATCATAGGACACATTATAAATGAGAGATATAATAAATCACATTTAAACTGAGAATAACACCTGTCAGCAGGTTGGTGGCTTATGTTAATTTATCAAAAGAGAGTTCAATAGAGGGTTGGAAATAATCTGGAATTACCTTTTGGTTTTGTTTTACTTCCCTTTGAGATTGGTCTGAAGAAATTGCCCCCTTTTTTGATCAAACAGATGTAGAGCTAAAACCAACTGCGAATCAGCCACTTCAGCTTTCTCAAACTTTGGATTTTGTTTTGGTCGCATCACACTCAATCAAAAAAAGTACTCTATTTGACATAAAAATGTCATTATTTTGATTTCACCTAAAGTTTTCCTTCCACTGAAATTCAAATCTCTTCTGTTATCAAGTAGGTTTTGCAATCTATTACCAAGTACCACATTAAGGTGCTTAAAAGTTCCCATGTATTTGTCATGTTGTCTTTCTCATGCAGTGATCAAACTATTGTGCCTGGGAAGGTTGATCAACTGGCCACGACTACAAGATATCATACAAATATAATGGGTCACTTGCAATTTGAATGCTTTGAACACCGAATAATAGTTCACTGCAAAGATAATGATGAAAATGTCCTTCCCCAATACCATGCATGAACAAGTTTATAAATCAGAAATTTGACCATAACATTTTAGAAAAAAAAAAAGATAAATAAAGTAAATGAGAGCCTATCCTGACCTACCCTACCCTCTGCCTTCACCCTTTAACTGCAAGAAGTGATCAACATGTCACTTCTCCCTCTGATATCCTCACATTATTCAGCAAACAAGTTATGAGAATACTCAACCTTATCAGGTTGAAGTTGTTGTCTTGATCTAACTCCTAATTCTCATAACTTATTCGCAGGGAAATGTGTAGCAGCAAGAGGCAAGAATTGACAATCTGATCTTGGGAGCTAAAGGGTTAAACTGGATCAAGGATCAAGTGAAGTGTTACCACCAATATTTTGAGTTTAATGAGATCTTTTAGCACTACCAAGCTGATTTATCATCCTAATACTTAGAATCAGAAGTGAACCTTTTCATGGTATCCACCAAGGGAGAGCCACACACCCAGTTCTTTTGCTAATTCACATAAAATTTGCATTCTTGGACTCTCCAGTGGTTCTGCCATTGACAAAGACTGTTCGCTGTTTTCTCCTACATAGTCAAAACATTCAGGCAAAAACACAAACTGCAAAGGAAAATACCGGTAGGTAACATTAGTCTTACAAATAAAAGGTGTTTTATTTAACTAACGATATCTTTACTTTCATTTGATCAACTTCTTGAGCACATTTCATAGGATCAAAGAGGTAACTCTTGCTTTGGCTTTGAATTATCAGTTCTTCAGAAAAACATAAAGTGAGAAAACAATTGATTGTGCAAATGCATTTTTTAGAAGAAAAGATTTGCCACCAGCTGGGTCAGTTGGTAGAGTAGGAGTCATTTTTTTTTATTTTTGTACTTGACAATTCCTGTTTCCAATATGTAGAATCTAATAATTATTAGTGCATGGGGTAAGATAGGGGTAAGAAGCGAGGGGATAAAAATTGGGGTGGGGTCAAGGGATGAGGGGTAAGGGGAAAGGAGTGTAAGAGGTGAGAGTTAAGGGGCGACGGTGGGGGGATGGGGTTCGAAATTGAACCCACGAAGCACTTTGTGATGGGGGAGGGGAGGGGGTTGGTGACTAAGAGACAAAACATTTTAAAATCCATATCATCTTCACCTTGGCTCCTCTCGACTTGGCTTTGTTTATTAAATCTTTGCAAATTCCCATGTTACGGTCCACGTCATTGGTGGAGTTCATCTGACAAACTGCGACGAGAGTGGCTCCAGAATCGGTCAGCTGATTGTCTCCCATGACAAGCCCGGTTATGGAGGCAAATTCTCGCCGGTAAAAGTAACTAAAAAATCGGTACCTTACCTCTTTAGAGGTTTGAAGTGATGATCTTAGTTTAAATTTATATCCTGCTGTAGCAATGAACTGTTTGGTAAATATAGGAATCATCAGATTCAACGAAAAACAGGCAGAAATTAAAAGCCACCAGACATATTGGATGGTGGTTTCTTTCTCCTTGTTATACAACAAAAGTATTGTTTCTCTGTAACCGACTGGTATATTGCGGGCTCATGTAATTTTCTTTCGCGTGTTCCGTGACCTAGACAGTCGATTAAAAACGCAGAGAAAAATTTCAGGAAAAATTGGGACTTCTGATAGATCAAGTGGGGTCTACAATGACAGGTGGCGATAAAATTAATCGACCAAAAACGGTGGGTATACCTTTCATGGCAGTTTCGTGTACCACAACATCTGAGATCTGGGCTCTTGTTGCGTTACAACACGTGTTTCTTGTACCCTGTAGACCACCGGCCTAATCTATTACGTACAATCTGAAAGGACATCGGTCTTTGAATACAGTTTCGGTCAGTTGACGATAACTGAAAGTTCACCGGAACTTTGATTAGGCTTGTAAGCTTGCAGCTGAACTTTGATGGGGTTAAGTTATGTTAACTACAATATTATTCTAAAAATAATAATTTTTTTCAGGCTTTGCAGAAAAATATTAGCAAGCTCACGAGAGTAAAAAAAGCACAGAAAAAGAAGCAACAACAGAAAAACAAAGGATCCAAGCAAAGGTACAAATGCAACCAGATATTCCTGTAAAGAGAGAGAAAAAGAGTTGGCACCGTTTACGTCCCTGTGAAATAGAATTTAATACACTCGAGACATAAATAGCAAAAAGAAACATTCATTTTCGTATTAATTTGCCATTTTTGTGCTGTGTATTTAAGAGAGGGTTGAACATGCTTGACTAGCCTTGGACGGAGGGGGGGCTTTTATCACAAAATCGTCGGAAATCAGAAATGAAATTACAGTTTAACTCCTTGCAATTCCAATAAGTTACTTTGTAAACAGGTTATGTGAACAGACAGCTTTCAGCTAGAGGGTGTTTTTTTGGGAATAAGACCAAATTGTCCTGTACAAGGTAAGCATGGCATTAAGTGGTGAGAATTGCCAATTGGATCTTGAGAGTTGAAGGGCTAAGAGATGGGCAGATTCACAATGCCTTGATATGATGATAATTGATACATTCTTTTTTGATGAACATTTCTTATCAGTAACAACCAGAGGGGCAGTGCTTCAATATCTGCAAAAAAGAAGAGACTTATAATGAAAGAAATAAAAAAGCAAAGAAAAGAAGAAAATGCAATGGAAGGTAACAAAATTACACTTATTTTTTTACAATGTTTCTTCAAAGGATAAGGGCTTACCAGAAACCTTATATAGAAGGAATCCTACATAAGAAGGTCTCTCTCCCCTGTTTTAAAAAGCAACTGATACTTAATGATAATCAAACAATCAAGCATGTTTCCAAATGCATGGAACCCCTGCTGGAAAATCGTGCTAACACTTAATGCAGAGAACACCTTTGGGAGATCATTCAGGGTCCTTAGTCATCAACCCTTTGACCCCTAAGAGTGACCATCATCTAATTTCTCCTAACAATATCGTCCCTAAATCAAACATTAACATCATGAGAATAAAGGAAATGATCATCAACTAAAGTTTCTCTTGATCCTTAAACAAATTCTCCTTATCAGCACCTTAGAAAATGTATAGAGAACAGCATGGAGAATATGCATATTGATGTGAGGGCGTGAAGGGTTAATTGGGAGACTCATAACCTGGTGGGGCCTTTGTGTAGTGTTCTTGGGCAAAACACTTCATTGTCTCTGTGCCTCTCTCCACCTAGGGATATTGATGAGTATTAACATATTGTCGAGGAAGCCTGATGAAATGTTGGGGGGAAACTTGTGATGAACTAGCATCCTATCCTGGGGGGGGGGAGTATTATTACTGGTACTCCTACCTTATTGGTACTTAATTTAGGGTTTTTTGTGATGGTAAAAAAATTGTAAAATTAATGACCTGAAATAAAACTCCTCAGGGAATATGGACTTGCAAAAATTTAATATGTAATAGCAACAACATATGCAGAATAAATGACAAATACACAGTTTATTACAATACAGTAAAATACAAATTTTATTTGCCATTTATAAAGAGAAAGGTGTTTTTCATTACCAAATAAATAAGTTTACAATACTTGTTACAAACAATATTTTAATAGATGGCAAGGGGGCCTCTGGAAGCACTGGGCTTAACATTGTATGAGTGAGATTTCGTCATTAGGAACATTTCTTTTGCCAAACCACTAAGGCACAAGAATTTGGTGTTGGTTCAAGACAGCAACCTCTACCTGATAAGTTTGGGTATTCTCATTACTGGAACCAGTTTGCTGGATAATAAATGGATATTATAGGGATAAATAACAAGTTAATCAATTCTGGGAGTTGAAGGGTGGAAATGGTTTCCCAACACTCTTTTTACTATAACAAACACCCATATCAGCCTTAAGTCCCCTTGTGCCAAACAACTCTTATAATTCTTAAGCTGCTACTCTAAGAGGGGGAATACAGATAAATGTTTTTTTTTTACATTATTCTTTTTTAGTTGTTACACAGCAGCAAATTCATAAGAAACCAGAGGGAAAGAAAATCAAGGAGACTAACGCTGAGAAAATGGACACAAGCTAATGTCTCTGAAAAAGGAACAGTAACCTGACAAAAGAGGGGACTCTCTCTTCATATGGGTCGTTCATGTTTTGATTCCATACTGATTTAGAGAGCTACATGTTTAACTTTGTCCATCAGTTGTTCAAGTCTACACAAGCACAATCTTACCCATTAAGGCTTGCATTTAATAAATGAGCTACTGATGTTGTTGTTTTTCCTTCAACCTCATAACCCTTAAGAGTGACTAACATCCAATTTCTCCCGACCTCAATCAAATAACAATAAAGGAGATGGTCACCAACTAAGGAAGTTCTTGATTTTTAAACAAATTCTCCTTGTCAGCACCCCAGAATGTGTAGAGAACAGTATGGAGAATATGCATACAGATGTTAGGGTGTAAGAGATTAAGATTTGTTATGTAAACGAGTTTCAAGGAATTAGAAAACTGTTAATTTTTTGTGGGGAGGTAGTAGGTGTCTTGCATGCACTCTAACGTCACCTTCCCCTTCAGAGGTTAGTTAATCAAATGGAGCAAGCCACTCATGCGGGATTAAAAGTGAAATCTGAGTTTGATTTCTTTGTTGTGGTATGTCTCAGGCCTAACATCCTCTTTGATTTTACCTCAGAGCAAGGCAAAACTACAAGAAACAATAAAAGCAAAACATTAAGAACCTCTCTTCAAAGCCGTTAAACTAAATGGCAAGCTTACACTTGACATGGGTCAGGGTAATCATTAATTGAACAACTGGTCACAGTAACCCATTTCTCAAAAGTCTTGTTAACTTAACTGGCCAAAAGTGATATTTTAAAATCCAAATTTTAAGCATAGAGTAGCAGGTTGACCCTTAACCAATCCATTTTTTTTTCTTAAGGTGACAATTTTATGGTATGATTTTCAAAACTCTTAAACACTCCATCTTCAATGAAATCAGAACAGCTTTGCTGTCATATAAAGTTACCACACCTTCGAGAAATGGTCCCCAGGGTTACACAGTCTAGAAGAGGGGAAGGAGGTCTGACATCAAAGCAAATTCTTCCCACTTTTCCCCAATGGATAACATCTGAAGTCTTAACATCAGAACCCAGAATGTCACTAATCTGGAAAAAGTTCTGGAACATTATCATCTAAAGATGAAGAAATCAAATTCAGGGAATGGTAGTTAATCTGATAGCTTTGCCTGTGTGGCCTGATCTTAATTATGATAGGGTACAACACAAAACTTTCCAAAAATAATTTGGTTGTTCCCCATTTTCTATATTTGATACAGTATAATGATAAGCTGAATTTGGATTGGTTCTTACTTGTGATATAGTGGAGGACAGATGCACAAATGACATCACCATTATTAATATTTTATTTTTTCATCATATAAAACAAATAGATTCCACATTGCCTTGGGTTTGTACAGTAATGGATCTCAGATGTCAAAATGTGGTAAGGTTCTCTTGTCTCTTGTTGTACCACATTTTGAGGTCAACCACCCACTGGGTCATAAATATCAAAAAAAAATCAACCCCCCCCCCCCCCCCTCAAATCAATCAAGGCTTAATAGACCAAGCAGAATACAGAGGAATGATTGGAAACTTGTTCTCAATTCTGACTCATTTGTTTATCAAAGGTGATAAAGGACTGTTGGGAATGGACCATTCTACAGTTGTGTAAAATGTAACTAAACCTTTATGTGAAAGCGAGGTCATTGGTGACCTTGAAATGAAATTGGCCACAACGCAAACAAACGCGACACAAAAAAATGCAACTTCAAAGGTGTTTTTTATTCAACAAAGGCATAGCACATTTGAAACAAAAATAAGGTAAAAGCTCTCTTATGTACAGTTGCAGCAAAGCAAACTTGGATTCTAATTACAATATTGGGACATACCACGATGCCAATTCATACTTTTTATACACATTTGCAAAAACAAGAATTTTTCAACATTTGCAAGAATATTTGTCATTCCACTCATCATTTTACTACCAAGTGAAAAATAAATTTTAGACAGAAGTAACGAAACTACCAAGAATACACATCCTTCACCTTCACTTCTCAACTTAAGATCCACTTAACAGTATATTTGGATAGGGAAAATTATGTCTAGGTGAACATGTTCACGTTTATACCTTGGTATCAAATCGACAGGACTTCAACCCTTTCCATAGGCGAAATTCAGTAGTAGGGCGGAAATATTTTAGATTTTCATGTTGGCAATTTTTTCCAGATGAACGGGGTGTTCATGACAAGTAAAAAAAGCAAGTCAGAGCGAGAAGTCATCTCTAATTCCTTCGCTCGAGAAAACAACGAATGGTATAACCTCAGTCAATTCCCTCTTGACCGACACCCTTTAGACGACGTACACCTCTCTAAAACTAACACTTGGATTCGATTCTTTCCGTTCAAATTTTTCAGTCATGTCAATATAGTTGATCTAATGTCTAACGAGGAAGGAAGGCTAGTAACTGCAATAGGTTGTTTCCACAAGGACTGTTGTACTAACACTACTCTACGTAATATTTGAGCCCGTTAACAGTCGTTAGCTTGGAGTTGTGCCTGCTTGCCGTTTTTCTGCACGCTCCATAAATCTTTACCTCTCCATTTCAAATGCCAGTCTGTTCACACATCACCGTTATTTCACTAAATTCAATGCGCGACTGATTGCACTTGGTAATTCTGGGATCCAGGAAAGAAATATTAAGACTAGAGGATATGGTTTCGTCAGCTGCGTGCCAAGTCAGCCCTTGCCTCGCGCCTCAACTGCACAGCATTCACCACCATCACAGTTTCTGATAAAAGCGATTCGAAGATAGCGTCTGCCACTTGGAACTTCACGGCAAGTTCATCATCATCGTAATCTACCCATAACGGCTCCTCTTCTCGAAGCTCCTGAATCAGGATGGCGTCAACGAAATCCTTCTTTCCCACCTTTAGCGGCGTCTTCCGACGAACACGTTCAAGAGAAGGCCTAGCATCACCCAAACCGATTAAATTCAAAACTTGTTGCTGCACTACAGGGAGAAAGTCTCCTTCGCGGACAAGTGGTTGAAGACCACGATGCAGACGGTGCTTTCGTCGCGGTTTTGCTTTCATCCAAGCCGGCCGCTTGGTGGGGGTCTCCTCAGATAAGAGATCTTTGAACAAATTGCCGGTCAAATCGAACACTAATCGTTGGTAAACTCGTTTACTATTGGCTCCGAGGTCGTCGTCCGCTTCGTCGTCTCCGATGATTTCCGACGGGGGTGTTACGTTATCTAAAGGCAGTCCTCTCCTCTTGCGTTCGAAGAAAACGGAAAGAGAGGAAGCCACCAATGGGCTGACTTCATTGGGACGATGAGGAACGGAGAAAAGAAACGAAGGACCTCTAGAACGCCTAAATGTCTCCTCTTCTTCATCTTCCTCTTCAGAGGGAAATTCCATGAGAGCATTTGTGTTAAGTTTAAATTCTGAGCGTTCATCTTCACCTTCGCCCCGTGCACCCTCCAGATGCTCATGTAAACGTCGTAACTGATCAAGCTTATCTGTCAATTCTCTCTCGTTAATTGAAGATTGCTGCTCACTTGTGGGGCTTCCTGGAGGTGTCGAGGTGTCCTCAGTATACTTCAGTAATCCGTCGGGAAAGCGTTGGACGGCCATAAATCTACTGTTTCTGGGGGAAGAAAGAGGACTCTCTTCAGCCGAGTGAGGTTCGTCTTCTGTTGCCCCCCTTGGAGAAGTAGTTAAGTCCGTGGTACTTTCACCCTTGGTCTTGGCAAACTTTTCTTGACGAGATCGCATAATTGCAATCATTTGAGAGGCGGCTTCCTTAAGCAGTGCGTCTGACAATTTATTCACGATGTCGTTACTCTTTTGTTCAGGTGATACCTGCTGAGGTTGTTCAACAGGAGAGGGAGCAAAATCTTCTCGCTCTCTTGTCCTACGGTCCAGTCCAGATTCTAAACTTCCATTCGGCGAGGTGGATAAATGTTCAGATATCTCTTCTGTTTCGGATGTTTCTGCTAATGATCGTGATGCACCATCATTTCCATCCTCAACAGGTGTACTATCTTTTGCAGACTGTTTCGGTAAATCTTGGTAGATCCGGCGACGTTCATCGAATACTCTTGTCGCCAAGTTCACAGACTCTTCCAGCAACATCATAGACAAGTCCTGAGTGATTCTGTCAGCAGTTTTTTGATCAGATTCATGGCTTCGGGATTCTGGCGACTGCCGAGTACTTTTCGGCAGCACACCAGGTGACACTGGCGATACTTCTTTATCAATTTTCTCCTTCTCATCAACGGATTCGTCCTCAATCTGTCTCTGCAGACTTCCGTGCTCATTTTTGAAGTAGTTTTCTTCAAATAAGGACCCACTATCACTATCTTCACTAATTTCCTCAAGGCCTTCAATGTTTTCATCCAATTCTTCTGCAATGCTTTCTTCGTCGGTAGCCTGCTCTAATTCGAGAGCTGGAATTTTAGGAGGTTTCTGGACTTGCCCTTCCTGCGGTGATTTATTGTCATCCACTTCTACACCTTCAGAAAGTTCCCTTTTCTTCGAGGAAAACCTGAAGTCGTCGTTTTCTTCTTTTTCCTGAGGAGTTTTGTCATCCTCTACTGGAACGTTCGACTCGGATGGTTCGAAATCTGGTGTGTAGGAACCACGAGGTTTTCCTTCGTCAGTTTCGTCAACCGCCGAAGGCTCAAAGTCATCAGTATAGGAGACAAGTCCACTTTTGTTTTCCTCAGGCAGTTGTAAACCTTTTTCTCCTTTTAAGGATTGTTCCGCCTTTTCAGACACGGGGCCACTACTTTTTGCAGAAAGTGATGTACTTTTTGGTGTCACTTCAATTTCAGATTGTTCAGAAATATCCTCGGGTACTTCAGAAATGTCTCTTGTCCCTTCTTCATCTTTTGATAAAAATTGATCAGGATGCGCAGATGGCTTATCTGGGACGTCATCTTGCCTTTCGGACCGTTCGCTATTTTCTACGTCTTCCTCAACACTGATATGCTCACTGATATCGTCTTCGCTTTTGTCCACTTCATTCTCAACGCTCTCAAAAGACGAACTGTACGCCTGTTGAAGACTTTGCGATTTCTCCGACAAAGCCGGCGATTTTGATCGTCTGGAAGACTTCGATCCCTCGGAAATAATCGAGTTTTGCCCGCTGACGATACCTGACTGTCCTGAGCGATCGGTGTCTTTCGACTCTTTCAGTTCCTGAGTGGAGTGGCTTCCAGAGTGAGTGGATCTGGGCCTTGTAACAACTTCATTTTCTTCGGTTAACGATTTATTTTCTTCGGTCCTTGCTTCTTTCGTGATCTTTACGTCAACCTCGGACCTTTCCCTTACCGAACTCTTACGATCACTATCCGATCCTCTCCGAAGACTAACTGATTGAGATTGACTAGATCCTCGAGAACTACGTTCCGACTTGTCGGAGTGAGATGCTTTGGACGGTGTTTGAACTTCGATATCCTCACTCATGGAAACATCTTCGGCCGTCGTCACATCGTCTTTGATTTCTTCTCGGGAATCTTCGGCATCTCTAATCGATGTTTTGCGTTCACTATTGGCTGATTGCCGTAGATTTTCCGAGGAGGTTTTGTCGGGGGTTCGAGTTCTGTCGGTTAGATCAAGGTCTTCTCTTTTATCCAAGGGAGTTTCACCTTTCCCCAATGACAAATTATTTCTCTCCCCTGTCTTAATCTCACTGACAGAAGAACACTCCTCATCTTTTCCTTTTAAGCTGGGAACATCGGAAATTGTTTGATCACCTCGACTGTTAACTTCCGCATCCACAGAACTTAAAACTCTCCCACCTGCTGGCTCACTCCTAGCAGACACTTTCACAGGCTTTTCCGATGGTGTTACCTTGCGACCTCCGCTCACATCTGACGTTCGAGAGAGATGGTACCTGACTTCACGGGCACTAGAATCGTTTTTCGCGCTCATTGGGTGTTGGTCAGTAGAGCCAGACTCTGGTCTTTTTGAATCCGTTTGAGGTCGATTGAGTTCGGCCTTTGTCCTTGAGATTACCATTTCCACAGCCTAAAGAAATTAAGAACTATAAATGATCGAGATTTCTTCACTGAAAATCTATCGTATGATAATTACGCATCCCACAAAAAAAATGCTATTTTGGATTCGCAATGAAGAGTTCTCCTTCTGGCACCTTGCACTCGTCTCATAAATCTGATGATAATTCTATTTTAATTACAAAAATTTATTTTAACACTTATACAATACTTAAAATATCAAACAGTAACTCGCCTCAGAATTTTGAAATATTTTTCCATCGGGCCGAAAGACCGAAAACAATGTACAAAGTTCAACTTCACGCGCCCACGTCAAGAAGAGCGCGTGACATTGACGGCGTAAACAACAACCCCGTGATAGTACTCGTTTCCACGTGTATTTACCTGTAATTCCTGCCTTAAGCTGGCCTCTTGAGCCCGCAACATAGCTTTTCTTTGTTTCTTCCTTTCATTATACAAGCGCTTAACCTCGCGCTTGCGCACTTCAAGTTGGTCTCTCAGGCGGCGAACACGAGACTCGATGTCGCTGTGGTCCGAGGTTTCTGGCGAGAAATACAAGAAAGAGATAATATTTAGCCATTGCGATGTATGAAATTTGACACGTGAAATTTCTACCTAAAGCGGAAAGGGGTTCCGAATTAGCTTGAAGGAACCATTAAAACGTCAAGTCGTTTTTAAGCAAACACCAGAACTAAAATTGTCAACAGTGAAGGCATATGTATGAAGGGTCTTCCTACAGACCGACCGATAGACCTAAGAAGATAAGATAGGATACTTTGTAAAAACTACAATTTATCAAGCGAATGGCGATAAGAGCCTAAAATTTTAATATCAGAACTGAAACTGTGGGAACAAAGTGTTGATTAAAATAAATAATAACTAATGAAATGTGGGAACAGCTAGTAACTTGCATCACACCACACACACAAAACTCCCACGGAACACTGTTTGGGGAAAGTTCACACCTACATGTTTATTCTTAACGCCACGGGAGGCCAATTTCTGCTGAAGGGGAAGTCACTCAGCAACAAGATAATGCCGTGAATACTTTTCTTTTAAAATATTTTATTCAATAAACTATGGTAGGCCTTACAGCAAACCGAACTATGATCCCGTAAAGTCTTTTGCCGCGTACCAGAGAAAGACATCACTGATCTCTGGTTCTCGTAATAATTTGCATATACTTATCAAACCTGTCTCGGGCATATCTTCCTTCTTTAACACTTAATTGATCGTTTTTCCCTTAGACTACAAGATCGTCGAACGAACGCTGCCCTCAAGCGTCAACGTGTCAATCGCTCTACGCCACTTTAACGAAGATCAACTTAACGGCTATACCGTGACTCGCGATCGCTAAAAAAAACGCAAACACAGTCTTGTTTCCAGCGATTCTTTGATTACCAAATAAGTTCAGCAGCCACAAAAACGCCATCGATGGAGACCAAGCGGTTGAGCAAATTGTGAAGGTATCAAACACAGCTGGCTCGAAAACGTCAAAAGCCGTTGAGAATTGTTGGGTTGTTTTCTTTTTCCCAATTAAAAAAAAAGCAAAAAAACTATCCAACGATTTTTAAGAAAACCAGTTTTTAAGAATTTTGAAGACAACAATTTGCAAGCTAAAGGTTTCTTGTTGCTCTGCTTCACGTTAAAGAAAAAACCCCGAGGAACGAAAGAAGAGCGCACCTTCGGCGCAACCGTTGTTTAAAAAGACCTACGCCAAATCAAATCGATTGACTATGCATCTTCATATCTCAAGGTCTCGAGGAACAAGAAGAAAGAGGAAAAAGCGTAACATTTCTTTGGCTTGTGCGTCTAGGCCATTCAAACCCGCTGTGTATCTTTGGTACAACTGCCCACAGTCAAATGCTCTTCCCTTCATGCGAAACTTGCTATCGGTGAAATTAGGCGTTTACGGAAAACGGCAAGACTTGAACTTCTTACCGATTCCTTCAGCCTTCTGGGCACATTTATGGAAATATTTGAGTTTAATGAGAACAAAAAGTGTTTTCAATTTTTCCACAAGATTGATTTAAGGACTGGAAGAAAGTTAGCATAAATGGAATTCATTTTTGCCGTTACTGTCATGTTCAACAAATTTAAAAGCAACTAAATCTTCCAACGAAAAGAGATCATTCTAGAAACAAATTTTTAGTTAGCAGAGCAAGGGTTAACCACGCTTTAACCGAACAGGCCTTTGGAACTGTTTGCGATCAATACGTAGTTTATCGGAAAGCGTGCATTTTGCCATGTCGGGTTCCCCTTGCAACATTAAATTAAAACAGTTAACAAAAGGTAACATCGAAAAGGTTGAGCAACCATTACGGATGGCAACAGATAAATTGTTTTAACTGGAAATAATGCAGACTTCAAAACATACAAAACGGACGGAACTCCAAACTCTTTTACACTCTCTCAATTGAATGCTGTTAATTTGAAGAAACCAAAATCATACGTTTTAAAAAATTTTAAAAAATCTCGTTCAATAATTGAATGCGTGGAATCACTCTTGTCTTTAAACAGTTCTTCTGGTCGCCGTTTCCTTAAAAACGATTTAAGAACAACAGACAACAACTTCATACCTAGAAGAAGAAAATCATGTTAAACCAATTTCAAACGGTAGAAAAGATTTAGAGACCATTAATTCGGATGAAGAAACGGAATTTGCGTCACCGTAATAAAAAGGTCACCTCGCTCGGCCTGATGCAGCCTTCATTACTGTTGACAATGAAATCATGGGGAAAAGAAAAGTGTTTAAACTTACGACAAGCAGTCAAACATAACGCACGAAGAAGCAGCGGAACTTGTAAATGGTTCAAAGTACGCAAGGCAAAGAGAACCAGTGCTACATTCGTTCCACGAAACACGCAATGCTGAATAGCAACGTAAGTAATAAATATAACCACAAGTATTCTACCGTCCCGTCATTCCTCGTGAGGGAAGTTATTTCAAAATGGTGTCGGCGCAAAATATTCAGTACATTTTTTAAAGCACATGGAAATCCTATGGAAACTTTGCTGGAGGCGATAGCATGTGATAACATGAGTTGTAACGCAGTTCTACAAATAACAAGGGAATCAAAAATTGAACTCTGTTGACAATACCTCTCTTGGAAAAATCTTTGTTAATTTTTTCTATTAACAAACCAGAGCGAAAGTAAGCAAAAAGGAAAAAACAGAAAAAAGACAGCGAATTTAGCGGGCGTTCGATGAAGGATGTTTAAAATGACTTTGTTATGCAAATTACCATGTTGTGGGGATGATGATATCATAATTATTTTCTTTTCTCGCCCACAGCTAAACTTCCTCATCGATGTTTCGCAACCATTAGTTGGAATATTAAATGTTCAACTCGTGTAATGAAACTATTCGTTGTGTCAATTTCTACTAAGATACTTGTTCTTAAAAGCCTCGAGGTCCGCAACACGCACGGATTCACTTTAAACAGCGACAAATTTGGTACGTGCTTCAAAAACCCAAACTCGGAAAATACGTCAGCATCGTGCACTCAAACTGATATTGGACTTTCTCCGAAGAAGAACCTTTAGAAAAACCCCGCCACTGCATTTAAAAGATTGTCTCGTGTTTCTTCACACAAAAACACAAATGAACAATTTTTGGACACATAAATTACAAAAAAAACGGGATCCTCGGGTCATTCTTAAAATGAACAATCACCAAAACAAAATGGTTTGATAAGTAAGTAAGCACTCTAATAACGTCGTAGCATTATCGTAATGTAAAGAGAGCTTACTAACACACGGCGACTATTACACAAGACAATATCATTTTAACAAGCACGAGTGTACAATTCACGATGTCCTCCGACTGAACATAATCGAAGGTGTGGAAAATAAGCCCCCTAACGTTTTGAATTCACAATCCATCTAAAGCCGTAGAAATTCAAGAAATACGAACATCTTAACAGACAATACTGGTTTACAACAACTGGATCAAAAGAGTTGAGCTGAGATAAAGAATAAAAATCAAATAATTTTCTATTGTCTTGAAAGACGAGAGCAATCTAGGAAAAAATTTTCTTATGGTGATGAAGAGCCATCAGTCCTTAGAAAATTATAATATTAATAACAAAACATACTCGTTATGCTAATAGCATAGAAAATCGAAGAAGTAGTCTAAGAAGGAAAATTTTCTGCAGACATCGATCATATAGCGGCGCTATAATTCTTCACTTGAAAAAATATAAAAACAAAAAAAAACCAAGGTAATTTTTTTTATATGAAACACGACTTGGAACAATACAAAAATTTTACTAGGTAATGGGCTCCTGATTTTACTTACTTTTACTTTTCTTACTTTTAAAAACGTTTAAGTTAACTGTCGTTGCGGCTCCCCCGCAACGACTTAGGCAAGCACAAATGCACCGTTGGCGGGAATTGATTACATACGAAAGTGTGCTGTGAATACTATTTTTATAATAATCCTGCAATAATGATCAGGGCAACAGTAAGCCAGCCAGCCGCTCGTGAGAATTACCAATGGGAAACCGAGTTTTCGCTGTAGTTTTCCACGAGAGGAAACCATTGAATACAACTCACCCGTCATAGAGGTGTCCTCTTCACTCTTGCTCCCCTCCCCTGTGGATGATCGCCTGCTTAGAGCCGGGGACGTGTCTCGCTTAAGCGTCAAATCGCTCCGCACGGGGGTGGAGTGCGCTGGAGTCGCACTGCTATCCAGCGACTCGAACGTATCGTTGACATACTCCTCTGGAATCTCCTCGGGAATCGAGCTACCCTGGGATCGAGTCTTCATGTCTACTTCAGGAATAGAACTGTCACGTGACCTCTCTGACTGATCTTGTGACCTGTCACGTGTGGGAATACTCAGCTCCTCAGCAACTGAACTCTCACTGGCACTGCGCTCGTGGCCATGCGACCGAACCGCCTTGATGGATTCACTGATTCTGTCAGTTCCTTGTGTGGATCTATCTTTGGAGATGACTTTACTAGAGGGAGTCCTAGATACTGACAGGCTGGCAGAGGCCTCTCTACCACTGCGATCTGTTAAAATAACCAGCTCATTTTAATAAGACAAAACAATTCTGTTGTAAGGAAGAAGAATGATCAGTGTTTGTGTCGTAGTGAGGTATAAGTCATGAAATGTTCGTGCCGTGAAACATTTGGCTTTCTATATACTATTGAGGAGTATATGACGCACAAAATCAAGCATTAAATTAAACTTTATTCCAATATTCCCAGAATAGCTTAATTCCTTAAAAAATAACGTTCAACCATAATTAACATTTTAAGTTTCGGTACCGAGAAAAAAATCTCGCAGTTAACACAATCGAGCGTAAACAAGAAACGCAACAAGCTCGTCAGGTCTGCAGGGTTACTTTCAGGTAAAGGTAATTCACCTGTCCGATTAATTTCCTTCTCCCGAAGCAAAAAGTAGAAGTCCTGTAGCGAAAAACTTGAATTCCGCAATGTTGAGGATAAGCATGTATAATGAACAATTATTTACCGAAGAGAGGGTGAATACTGGTGAATATTTACTGCCGGTGCCGCGGAGCAACAGAGTAAGCACTCACCACTTTCACCGACACCGGAGTGGTACATTGTCCAAGAATAAACCACACAAGAACCAATAAAGTCAGCCACTTCGGCTGCTCGGAGGTGAATGGTACTTGCTAATCATTTTCGAGCCAACAAATCAGCACGCGCGAAAGGCACTATTTACCTGTGTGGTATACGCTAATTCCTACAACTCGCCTCCCCGAATTTAGTGCGACTACTACAAAAAAATGTTCAAATCAGTAATCTATCATTCACGTCGTACCTTTATGTTCTTCTTCTTCGCTTGTTATGCTGGTTGTCCTTGGCTGCTTCCTGGAGCTTTCGAGATTTAGAGCTTCGTTGAGTAGGTTCCTGACGAGACTTTCTTCTTTGTCAAGTCGCTTCTCCCATTCCAAAAGCTTTTTCTTGTTCTCCAACAGATTTTCAGCCTCTTTCCGTCGTTTCATAAGCTTCTGCTCTCGCAGAGTTAGATACCTACGACATAAAAACAAAAACATCACAATTTATAATCAACAACAACAAAAAAACAACACAAACAACAAGAAACAACAACAACAAAAAACGAACAAAAAAAAAACGCAAAAAGGCAAAACAAAGAATCTGGCGCGAAAATTAAGAAATGCATACACTTATTCACGAAAGCAAACATCGGTACAAAAAGATATACCACGTAGTTAACAATAAAGCGCATGTTGTACCAAGCTCGGTTTATGTTCGATCAGTGAAAGCCTTGCCTGGAGAAAGTTTGCAGAAGCCGACAACTTTAAGAGTCGATAGTATTGCAACCGATTAAAATCACATATAAACTTCCCGAGGCCTTGAGCGATTTCTACCGAAAGTTTCCGTGTATTAGTTAGAATAAATGCGACCAAAATTACATTTGCTTTTAAAGAAGCGCTATTCAGTCACCAATGCTTGGAGCTGGACGCCTGCACTGAGTTACGAAGCGTGATCGAGTACCCGTTTCGTGCAGTTACGAAAAACAGAGGACAAAAACACTGGAAACAAGCACCTCAGAAAAACTGCATCAGTCCCGAATCAGCTTGTAAAGACGGATATGAAATCATACACCACACTACAAGACGATTAAACAGAGTTTTGGATCAGGAACAATACAGGGAGTGGACTTAAACTTTGAACAATTGTCCGGTGTATTTCCATTCCAGACAGTCACATAATCCCATTCAAGTAACTCATGAATTACATATTTCCAGATATATACAATTGCCCTTGGTAACACACGCAATATAAGTTTAAAGCGGGAAAATTTCCGTAACATCCTCTCCTCACCCAAACACTTCCCTCCTAGAAGGAGAGGCGGAAAACAAAAACAGGATTGTCCTAAGAAGAGATTGAACCGCTACAAACAGGTTTTATCAACATTGATTATCACACCGGTCAAACAAGCTGCAAACACGACAGCTGTACCACTGATAATAAATTACCTTGAAATTTATGAGAATGACAATAAAACTAAATTTCGAATCGCCTTAAAAGACAAATTGCTCACTGAAAGAGAATCTTTCAGGATTGTTACTATGAAAAAGAAATTCGAAAATTTCACAAACGTAATGTTCGTTTTCAGTTAAGCAATACTGGCAAGGAACACAGAAATAAATTGCAAAAACGTTTTCGGATGAAAATTAAAGCGTCAAATAAAGAATTTTCACTTCTACTGAGAAACTGTCGGCTGGATCATAGTCGGGGTAACTGTTTGAACCTAGCGATCAGCGAAAACGTCTACGTATCCGTAAAAAAACAACAGCAGGTGGAATGATAAAGAAGCAAAAAGTACAGTACCTTCTAACGCAGAAAAACAACCACATCATGGCCAACAAACTGCACAGTTAGACGGCTTCCGGGAACCATTAACTAAGACAGCCTTATGACAGGAAATTCCTAATAGCACAAGCGATTTTACGCGGGTTTTGATCAGCGACGACAAGTGATTACCGCTTGGGCTTCGCAATGTTTTACCGGTTCTTTTATTTGTTTTCATTTCTACGTCTCATTCTGGCAAGAGTCCACAGTATTCTTGCTAATCGTGTTTTTTTTTCGGAGCACGTGAATAGGGACTTTCTAGAAAACTTTGTAGAGAAACTTTGTTGAGAAGTTTTAGGTCGTAATTCCTCAACGAATCCTAAAACCTTAATATCTCAACGCCACAAGCATCACACGAATAGCTGTAGGTGAAACCTGATTCTGCAGGAAAGTTTCATTAATACTAAAAGCAATAAGAATTGTCCAAAACTAAAGAGTAAAGGACATTTCAAAATGACACTGCTTTTGAGTTTTGTTTAGTTCAATATTGGTTCGAGTCTTTTTGCCTCTCGTCGCTAGTGATACTCATTTCCACAAGCGAACAGAATGGGTGGCACACAAATACAAGAGAACTTAAAAAAGGTTTCGCGAACGCAAAAGATGTAGTTCGGTTAACGATGGCTGGCTGTTGCCAAGAGGCGAGAGGTAAAGAAGATAACTTAAACCGCTATAAAGGTTCTGAGTCGTCGAGAGACCGCAAAAAAACAATTTGAAATGTTTTACTTGTCCTGAAATAAAAACGAACTGTGCTGCCACTTGCAAACGACAGAGAAGGAAATTTAACCCGTTAGAAAAATTTATTTTCATTTTCATATCTTAATTTGTTTGTTCTGAAGACACTTACGCGGTACTAGCAAAGAAAATAATACGGTTGTCTGTATTGAGCAAAGAAATAATGTTTGACTGAGGATTGAGAGGAAGAACTCATGGTATATCCTCTCTCCAACTCAACACACTTGAAAATAGACTGTCCTTACAGGTGGTTAGCAAATATAAATCACAACATTTCAATAAGTCCCAAATACACTCTCACCTGCGAAGCTTACGGCACAGCATACAAAGCATAGCTCGGCGGAAAAAAAAAACTAAATTACTCCAGAAAAGTAGATTCCGAAAGCAATTAGCAGATTAGTTTTAAATACAAAAAGCGGCACCGGCCGTTGAAGGAAATCTGAATCGGGTATGCTGGATATTTCCACTGAATGTGTAGTTTTTTTTTCGCTGTGACAACTTGTGGAAATAATTTTGAAAATATTCAAAGAGCTGTTTAAAATTGGTGGAACGTGCTTCAGTATCCAACGAAGTGTGACGACATGTCTAAATTTATAAATTCTAAGTTCTGTTTGCATATTCGACGCAAAAGGAAACTCTAAACGCTATGAATCCCTTAAAAAATAAAAATACTTTTTGAGCCGTTTGTCACGGTTAATTACCATCAGTACATTTGGACTTACGTTTTGAACGAAAGATAAGTGTTTTTAAATAGTGTATTACATCTTGTGTTGTCAAATTCTACACGATCCATTTTAAATTAACAAATGAATAATTTCGTTGGTCTACCATAGGCAAAAACCAGGTTTCCATAAAATGTTACGGCCGTAAATCGATTGGAAGAAGTCAAATTCAAACCACTTCACCCAAGGTAAATATTAAAAAAAAATTAGTCCCTGAAATTATTACGCGTTTTAAAAACGAAAATGACATAATCCTCACAGTCTGAATTTAAAATCTATCGAATGTCAACAAAACACTGATGAAAATCACGACGTCGCTTAACACACAATAGCAAATACAGAAAGTCGTCAAATAGCGACTGCTGTTAGGATAACCTTGAATCTAAGCCATCAAAACTCACCGGACACACAACAGAAGACACCATTGTCGGCATTGACAGTTGAGTCGCTAAACCGATCACAGAATGTGAGACGCTGCTTACGTCAGTAGTTGTCAATTACTGGAAGAATTTACCGCTCCGGGATGTGCCTCGGCTTATCATCATATTGGCTGGCCGGCAGAAACCCACTAAAATTAAAGATGTTAAATTGGCTCATTCAAAAGCGTTGAATCGTGAAAATGCTGTTCGGAATTTTGTCTTCGCGTTTGCGGAAGGAGCTAGAAATGTCACGTAAATCAAAGATTTACGAAGAAGAAATTTGATAGCTTTATTATTCGCATGTTGGTGTTTGGATATGCTTTAGGAACATCACGATCTCAAAAAAAATCGGTTATATTATCAAGATATTGCCTTCCGTAAACATACAGATTTAATATAAGAATCTTATCGTCGATGTTTTACCTCAAAATAGCACTGTCATTCAAGTGTATGAGATTTCCGGGACAGATCTGACTAGGAATTAAACAATATTTATAGAAGACAAAGGTCTTAAGCTGTCCTAGCTAATATTTACGGGGTCAGCAATTAGCCTGAAAAATCATCGGGCACAGCAAATTTAATTGAAGAGAGAGCTTAATTCAATTCAGTCGTACTTACAGAGCAGCGAAAGTCCTAGACTGGCGCACTTATCGTCTTTATAATTCAGCCGGTTTCATTTTCACTTCCTTGTTTGTACTTTTCGACTCGAACGTTTCTCATGATTGATTACCGTATACGTTTTATAAAAAAAAAATAACGAAATTGTAGAGCACACGAACAATACTCATGGTTTTAACGCCGACAACCGTAAGATCAACAAAGGGGAGCTTTAACAGGTCACTTGGCTATTCAAATCAAAACAACAGTTTGTATAGCACATGATCAGAGCATGATATCCTAAATGTTCATTTCCTCTCTCAGATATAAGCCAATTTTACATAAGCTATCAAAGGCAGAAAAATACTTGTGTAAATAGCACTGATTCCTTTTCATAGACATGTATGGCACGAACAACAGGACCAGACAAAGCGTGACCTGGCTGAACACTTACCATAGGAAAACGAAAACAACACAAGTATGAAATTTACACGACAAAACGGAACATACCCTAGTCACTACAAATCATCATTTCAGTCAAATAAAAAAAATCCAACAAAATCGATACTAATAAGTACAACAGCAAGTCTCAAGGAAAAGCCCTCAGACAGCTGCAGTTCCTTGAACAATTTGTTAGCTTTTCACATAGTCAACTTCCGGCCTCTGTTCGTAACAAGCCGAGGTTTGTAGACATCTACAAGTTCAGAGCAAAATCGCACGGAAAGACAATCCTACCTTCACTTCCGGCGAGAAAATTTTATATCAGACACAAAGTTCATGAAGCAGCCGATAGCAGCAAAGGCAAACGAGCTTTATCATACCTTCCACTATATTTAATGCGTGGTGTTGCCAAACGATAAGATTGAGATAGTTACACAAGGCAGATTGCTTGCACTCATAGATAACGTAGACACCTTTTGGCAAGGACAACTCAAACAATGGATTTTTTAGGACTTGCACTTGTAACACAACCGTTTTCGATGTTTTCATAAGAATGGCGCACGAAATCTGCAAGCTTTTATTCGATCAAACTGACACCAAAATTTGGCAGGCAGGCATCTCGACACACTGTTTAATGCCAATTCTAGATCTCCTTTTTATCATTCCAACTCCCAACCCTTTCTCTCCAGATACAACTTCCACCGTAACATTCCACGGCTTGTGAACACGATTTTAGGTAACAAAATTTTCAGCTAATGAATGGAGCATGAGGATTGAGCTCGGCCAGTTAACTTTCCGCAACTCGTTATTCAATACAATCCCTATAAACAACTGACCTCTCGCTTGATTGATGTTTTAACTTTTTCAACTTCTGCATAACAGTAGAATCTGAAGCTGTTGGTGACCCTTTAGTGGCGGACACAGTCCCCTCCTTAGCAGAGCCTTCGTCACTGTCTCCCTCTGATAATCTTCTCTTCCTCTCGCTAGTACCAGACTCAGCACTGGACGGACGAGACTCGGCCCGACTGGCTCCTGGAGACTGGTGGGTAGGGATTTCTTCAGCGATACTCGCTGCAGCTGAGGCCGAAAGTGAAGCAGTTTTGATGTCTTCTGAGACGGATGAGCGACTGCCAGTGGAATGATCTGCGGGTTTCTCATCCAACTCCTCGACCACCTCAGTCGATTCAGCCTCGATCTGAAAGGGAGGTTATACAAGATGAAATCAACTAATGAGCACTGAGTAAAAGAAAGAAGTAATGAATTGATTCTCATAAGAGCCAATAACAACAAGTCGTTTAACCGTTTACACCTTACCATCAGTATACATATTCTCCATACTGTTCTCTATACATTTCCTTAGGTGCTGACAGGGAGAATTTGTTAAACAATCAGGAACTTCTTGGGTTGGTGTGATCACTCATAGAGGTCAAAGGGTTATTATGGTTACGTAAGAAAGATACATGATTACTAGAATGACAGCACATGAGATTTAAAACCTGGGGTTGGTGGGTCGGTGCATCCTTAAATAAAAATAAAGATGGCAGCGACACATCCCTGCAAATGGTTGCAAAAGTGCAGTACATGTCACTACCAGAGAGAGACCAGCGCTACGCTGAGTGGTAAGGGATCCGCCATTCTCTATCGATCGAAGTTTTATTTTGGGGGGAGGGGATTGCATGGTTTTCAGGGGAAACGGGGTGGGTAATAGAGGGTCAGTCGTAACTAACAGAGTATAAAAGGGGAACTTCAGAAAATTGACTGTCAGTGAGGGAGAATCACTAGAATACTATAGAATCTTAGGGGGGATTTTAGTGACACACCCAAAATCCTCCAGCCCCCCAGCCCCCCAGCCCCCCAGCCCCCCACCCCAACCGATAAATAAAGACCGGTCCTTGAAGTGTGCACGCAACATTAAAAATTTACAAACAAGTCACGCGTACACACAGTGCTGTTCAGAAAGATACACGCGATCAACAACTACGAAAGAGAGCTTTCAAGGAAAAAAAAAACTGCTGCGATGACATTTTGTTGACAGCACACTTCCTGTTCGTAAAGTCGGGAGAAAAGCACGCAACAAAGACTACACTAACAAATAAGGCAAATTCAAACAACTCATACTTATTAATAATGTAGCTTATCAGACGAATGTAACTCTATACATCCCAGAAATTTCAAAATGAGGAGTTCTATTTCTATTATGGCGTGCCTTTCGTGAGTTCAGCACGAACGTTGATAGATGCCTTAAATGACCACAAATGAATACAATTGGAGAGTATCACATTATAAACTCCAATTTACATTTAATTATTATAAATAATCTTCCTAAAGTTAAGTTTAGGCAGGGCTGAAACCAGTCAGTACGTCTCAGATATCGATTGAGCGCTACTTGTCACTGACAACCGTGCTAGTGGGGTTAGCGGTGTTTTGCTCACCGCAATGCAATCTTTATCGCAAAAAAAAAAAATAGGTATGCAAAGGCATACATGTGTCTAGTGCGAGCTAGTTGCTTGCATGTACTTCAAATTTTTTTGTGGCATACAGTTGTTACCTCTTTCGATCTATCCCAATCATAGCAGACGTTTTGGAACTTAAATGGAAACTACATATTCTAGGAATAATTTACATTTGAGCGTAAAAGCGACGGAATTAGTTTTGGGGTAACAAAAAATGCAATTCTCAAAAGCGTAGGGAAAGGCCCGAAAATGAAAACAGAACTTCCTAACTTCAAGTGAGACTCTGCGATATTTGACCATTTTTTGGACTGATAATTTTATTTTTTTAAGTGTTCATATGTTTTTAAGGTATTATTAAATCGAAGATTTTGTCTTTAAATTATTCAACTTCCAGAATCTTTAACACAACGCTATGGCCGTGAACTTATGTAAACAACGATGGTGCATATATCGCCCAGGTCTTGTAAGTTCAAGAAATTCCTTGGTTTTTTCGTTTTTGAACGGTCTATCTAAGCCTTTTTGGAATAAAGAGATATTTCTTGCTTATTTTCCTTGAATTTTATCAATAGCTTTTGGTCAAGAGAAAATTTTATAGGGTTTGTATTCTCGTGAGTGTTAGTTTCGAAGCGCGTAGTTCGTGTACTTTTCTCTTGTCTTCTGTTCTGGTTTCTTTTTAACAATTAATCCCTCATTAGTTAATGATTATTAGTTAATAAGTTTGCCATTTCAATCACTTTCTTTTGAGCACATGTATCAGATATTGTATCTCATGTTTCATCGCCATTAGTTGCTGCTGTTACTTTCAATGTTCATCTGCTATCGTTAGGAGCTAGACCAAAGTAAGTCTTCCTTTATTTTACATTTACGATATTTCCCTTTCGGTCTGTATTGACTACATTGGTTTATTTCTCGCACTCAGTTCTCTTTATAATCGTCTCATTGTTAGTTAGGTATGTGTTGCATTTCCCAGGGTACTTTCTTAGTTTATGTACTGCTGTACTTTTTTTTTTCAGTTGAGACCACACAAATTCAGCAACAATCTTCAATTATAATCTCGTAACCTTCAATCGCAACTTCGCCCTTTTCATCCGTATAATTTAACATGATTTCACACCGATTAGTTGATTCTAATTTGTAATTTTGATTACCTACTGCATTTAATTAATCCTTGTTTCTACTGTGCATTCAAATTTTCTTCTCCCTTCTACTAGTAACTTTTGGAGGAACAGAATGTGTAACAACTTATTAGGGACCTCTACACGAACCATGAATTGCGAACAAAGGTTTTCGTTAAAATTTTTTACCTTTCGGGATGTCTACGATAATTTTCACATTCCCACACGGATCAATGATCGACGCGAGCCATCTTAAGAAGAAAAAAGGATTGCAAACCGACAAATTTAAAGGAATATGCGAGGCTTTTTTAGCTCTACATGTTGTACAACATCATGCGCAAAAGAATATTCCCTTTAAGCGACCTGGCACGTGTCTTTTAGGACCACTTGTGATATAATGTATTGTTGCCAAAGGTTTGGGCTGAATTGATTCTCACTGTGGGGTTTTGTAACATATTAGTCCATTGCAATTGTAAGAAAGTACATAAGCAAAGAACACTGCTAACAAACGACGAATGTAAAACGTAACATTTGTTTAACCAGAAACTGCCAATCTTTAAAGGAAACATATATCTAGCCTGTACTCTTATGGATTACAAAGTATCAATAACTACATGTCATGGGCTAAGTGAAGGGCTTACTCGGAGAAATGGAAAATACTTGTTCTATCAAAACTTTAGTTCAGTGTGAATTAAGCAACGAAACTGAAAGAACTCGATACTGTGTAATTGAAAAGGATGTAATTGCATTCAACACAAACTTGTGACACGGACCTTTCAGTTAGCTGACTGTTCACATGAAAAATACAAATGCTTGGTGCAATATACACAATACTAGACATATTGCTGTCCATGAGAAAACAAGGAAATAATACAGTCGAAAGGTAACGATGTCATTCAGTATCATCATAATGATTAATTACATCAAATGTTCGTTTTTCAATATTCTCTGAATAAATAAACAAAGGAAAAGCTAACTGGAACATTTCAATATTGTGTAACTGGAAGTAACATGGGTCCCTTCTACTAATTAAATGAACTTGAACATAACTTGTGAACTTAGCTTACAGTTCAAGAACAAAAATTAAGCCTTTGGCACAACATCAGTGACAATTTTAGTCTTCTTGTTGTAAGTGATTTCCACCAGAGGTAGATCAAGGAAAACTTCAGTAATGTTATCTTCTGTTTGGGGCATATCTTTTTTTCCTATTGCAATCAGTAGGTTTTTTATTGTTTGATCAAAAATTGTAAGTGTAAGATTGGTGTTATCATCGATCTTCACTACTACTTGCAGGTAGATATTTTTGCTACACTTTGCTAACTTTTGTTTAAGGCCACAATTACCGCACTTCAGAATGTTGGTGTTTTCATCATGAAGCTTTTTCTTGCACACCTGACAGGAGTGGTACACTGAAAACTGAGCAATTCCTAGTATTTCAGCGGTTGATTTAGAAATAAGAAATGATTCTGGGATGTCTGTTGGGGTGGCCAATTGTTAATTCATGCCAGTCACCATTCTTTCTTACTTTCAGGTTCTTGAAGGCATAAGTTTTCCCTTCTTATACCTGATTAGTATACTGTTCCCAGAGAGTTATCCTGATAGAACCAAATGGATCTCTTAGAGTTGCTTCCACCTTACTCTTAGGGCCATTCATGGTATTAGCCTTTTTCTCTCCTGACAAGTAAAGGAGATTGGCTTTGACATCAACCAGCTGTCCAGGATTAACAGAGGTAATTGATGGTATGCTGACAGTTGTTGGGATTGTGATTGGTTCAAAGTTGAGTTCAGGCAGTGGTTCCAATTGGATTCTAGGGCTCATCAGTACACTCTTTGTATCTCCTGTTGCATCGATGTTGAATTTCTTGATTTTGATGGGGCTTTTCTGTTCACTGTACTTTTTGAAGTCATTGTGTTTTGCTGCTGAGAAGCATACCCCTCTAACAACTTCTGCTTCTGTTTGAATTTGCATATCAAACCATGTGGTTTTAGAACCTTTCTTTAGAGGAGAAATGTTATGAAGATAGCCAGTAAGTTCATCCTCCATTTTTCAGGAACAGGCTGTAAGGGAAAAATGGGATAATACATGAAATTACTGGTAATGACACTAAGACTTAAAATGAGGAGAAGGTACTTAGATTTAAACAGAGAAATAAGTATATTTAGTTGTTATTATACACACTGGCTAGGAAATTGTTTGCTACTATTGAGAGAAAGGGGAAACCAAATAAAATTGAAGAAAATTGCAAGCTTACCTCTATTCCTATGTTTATTCTTTGATGCAAAAAAGTGTAAGAAGGTTGCCAAAAAGCAAAACAACCTTCAGAATTGCATTATAGTTTTAGGTTATCTTATTGAGGAATTTCATTAAGGAAAATTAGTATTTTTAGATCAGTTACTTGACAGTTAACTAACTGACTTCACATGTGTGCCTATTTTCAAGTTTCTATCCTTCAATTTATGCAAAAACACTGGCTTGTGATCCGAAAAATTGGAATATCTTATCAATACATGCATAAATTATGATGGATGTCAAGTGAATTTCTGAATTAATCTTCCTACATTGAATTCTATTGGTACTTTATGGCATTCTCAAACATCTTACATGTAGTTACATGTGTATTCAATTT